AATTTTACTGAATTTTCTGCTGGCACGGCATTCCGTAGGACATACAGCATGACATTGAAACTTCTTCAAATCCCCTGCTGGCACGACATTCGGCAGTATAAACAACATGACCTCGAAACTTCACCGAATCCCCTGCTGACACGACATTGGCGGTACATACATCACGGAATTGAAACTTCACCGATTCCCCTGCTGGCACGACATTCGGTGGTACATAAATCATGACACTAAAACTTCACCGAATCCACTACTGGCACGACATTCGGTGGTACATACAGCATGACACTAAAACTCCACCGAATCCACTACTGGCACGACATTCGGTGGTACATAAATCATGACACTGAAACTTTACCGAATCCACTACTGGCACGACATTCGGCAGGACATGCAGCATGACACTGAAACTCCACCGAGTCCCATGTTGGCACGACATTCGGTGGTACATACAGCATGACATTGAAACTTCACCGAGCCCCATGTTGGCACGACATTCGGCGGTACATACAGCATGACATTGAAACTCCACCGAGTCCCATGTTGGCAGACATTCGGCGGTACATACAGCATGACATTGAAACTTCACCGAGTCCCATGTTGGCACGACATTCGGCAGGATATGCAGCAGGACATTGAAACTTCACCGAGTCCCATTTTGGCACGACATTTGGCAGGACATGCAGCAGGACATTGAAACTTCACCGAGTCCCATGTTGGCACGACATTCGGCAGGACATGCAGCATGACATTGAAACTTCACCGAATCCCATGTTTGGCACGACATTTGGCAGGACATACAGCATGACATTGAAAACTTCACCGAGCCCCATGTTGGCACAACATTCGGCAGGACATGCAGCATGACATTGAAACTTCACCGAGGCCCATTTTGGCACGACATTTGGCAGGACATGCTTCACCGAGTCCCATGTTGGCACGACATTTGGCAGGACATGCAGCATGACATTGAAACTTCACCGAATCCCATGTTGGCACGACATTCGGCAGGACATACAGCATGATATTGAAACTTCACCGAATCCCCTGCTGGCACGACTTTTGGCAGGACATGCAGCATGACATTGAAACTTCACCGAGCCCATGTTGGCACGACATGCAGCAGGACATTGAAATTTCACGGCCCATGTTGACATTTGGCAGGACATGCAGCATGACATTGAAACTTCACCGATTCCCGTGTTGGCACGACATTTGGCAGGACATACAGCATGACATTTAAACGTCACCGAATCCCCTGCTGGCAGGGACATTCGGCAGGACATGCAGCAGGACATTGAAAACTTCACCGAGTCCCATTTTGGCACGACATTCGGCAGGACATGCAGCAGGACATTGAAACTTCACCGAGTCCCATGTTGGCACGACATGCAGCAGGACATTGAAACTTCACCGAATCCCCTGCTCGCACGACATTTGGCAGGACAAACAGCATGACATTGAAACGTCACCGAATCCCCTGCTGGCACGATATTCGGCAGGACATGCAGCATGATATTGAAACTTCACCGAATCCCCTGCTGGCACGACATTTGGCAGGACATACAGCATGACATTGAAACTTCACCGAATCCCCTGCTGGTACGATATTCGGCAGGACATGGAGCATGACCTGCCGAATGTCCTGACAGCAGAGCTTTTGTTAAAATTTCAATGTCCTCTGAATGACTTGCCAAAAGTTTTGTCAGCAAGAGATTCTTTAAATTTTCATTGTCCTGATGTATGTTCTACCTATGTCATTCAGTAAAAATATTATAAATATAAACAAGATCAACAAGGAAAGGCGGCGTTCAATGAACATAACACCCACACGACCAAGCAACAAGAACCAGCGACAAGGAGCCGAGGACGACAAACAAAAACAAGACCGGGCACAAGGCTGATCACGGACAGGATAATCACTTAATAGTACCATTGAAGACATTGGAATTTAACAGAATCCCTTGTAGGCGGGACATTCGGCAGGATATTCTGCAAGACGTATGTCCTTATTGAATGTCATTCATTTGTCCCGCCAGCAGAGGACCTTCCATGTCCTTCTAATTGTCCTGCCGAATATCTTGCCAGTAGACTGTAGTGGATTTGGTAAAGTTTTTGGTAAAGTTTTTATGTTCTGCTGTATATCCTGCTGGTTGTCGTGCCACTAGGGAACTCGGTAAAATTTTAAATGATTTGCCAACAGAATATTTAGTGAAATTTCAATTTTTTGCTGTATGTCCTGTATAATATTCCGATAGCCAAACATTTGGTAAAATTTCTGTCATGCTGAATGTCGTTCCGAATGTGGTGGCAGCCGAGGATTTGGTAAAACTTCCATGTCCTGCCAGCAGACTGCCAGAATGTCGTGCCAGCCGAGGATTTGGTAAAACTTCCATGTCCTACCAGCAGACTGCCAGAATGTCGTGGCAGCCGAGGATTGGGTAAAACTTCGATGTCCTGCAGCAGAGCTGCCAGAATGTCGTGTCAGCCGAGGATTTGGTAAAACTTCCATGTCCTGCCAGCAGACTGCCAGAATGTATTGCCAGCCGAGGATTTGGTAAAACTTCCATGTCCTGCCAGCAGACTGCCAGAATGTCGTGTCAGCCGAGGATTTGGTAAAACTGTCCATGTCCTGCCTGCAGACTGCCAGAATGTCGTAAAAGCCGAGGATTCGGTAAAACTTCAATGTCCTGCCAGCAGACTGCCAGAATGTCGTGCCAGCCGAGGATTTGGTAAAACTTCCATGTCCTGCCAGCAGACTGCCAGAATGTCGTGCCAGTCGAGGATTTGGTAAAACCTCCATTTCCTGCCTGCAGACTGCCAGAATGTCGTTTTAGCCGAGGATTGGGTAAAACTTCCATGTCCTGCCAGCAGACTGCAAGAATGCCGTGACAGCCGAGGATTCGGTAAAACTTCCATGTCCTGCTAGCAGACTGCCAGAATGTCGTGCCAGCCGAGGATTTGGTAAAACTTCCATGTCCTGCCAGCAGACTGCCAGAATGTCGAGCCAGCCGAGGATTTGGTAAAACTTCCATGTCCTGCCTGCAGACTGCCAGAATGTCGAGCCAGCCGAGGATTGGGTAAAAACTTCCATGTCCTGCCTGCAGACTGCCAGAATGTCGTGACAGCCGAGGATTTGGTAAAACTTCCATGTCCTGCCAGCAGACTGCCAGAATGTCGTGCCAGTCGAGGATTTGGTAAAACTTCCATGTCCTGCCTGCAGACTGCCAGAATGTCGTGTCAGCCGAGGATTGGGTAAAACTTCCATGTCCTGCCAGCAGACTGCCAGAATGTCGTGACAGCCGAGGATTCGGTAAAACTTCCATGTCCTGCCAGCAGACTGCCAGAATGTCGTGCCAGCCGAGGATTTGGTAAAACTTCCATGTCCTGCCAGCAGACTGCCAGAATGTCGTGCCAGCCGAGGATTTGGTAAAACTTCCATGTCCTGCCAGCAGACTGCCAGAATGTCGTGACATCCGAGGATTCGGTAAAACTTCCATGTCCTGCCAGCAGACTGCCAGAATGTCGTGCCAGTCGAGGATTTGGTAAAACTTCCATGTCCTGCCAGCAGACTGCCAGAATGTCGTGCCAGCCGAGGATTCGGTAAAACTTCCATGTCCTGCCAGCAGACTGCCAGAATGTCGTGCCAGCCGAGGATTTGGTAAAACTTCCATGTCCTGCCAGCAGACTGCCAGAATGTCGTGACAGCCGAGGATTCGGTAAAACTTCCATGTCCTGCCAGCAGACTGCCAGAATGTCGTGCCAGTCGAGGATTTGGTAAAACTTCCATGTCCTGCCAGCAGACTGCCAGAAGTCGTGCCAGCCGAGGATTCGGTAAAACTTCCATGTCCTGCCAGCAGACTGCCAGAATGTCGTGCCAGCCGAGGATTTGGTAAAACTTCCATGTCCTGCCAGCAGACTGCCAGAATGTCGTGACATCCGAGGATTCGGTAAAACTTCCATGTCCTGCCAGCAGACTGCCAGAATGTCGTGCCAGTCGAGGATTTGGTAAAAACTTCCATGTCCTGCCAGCAGACTGCCAGAATGTCGTGCCAGCCGAGGATTCGGTAAAACTTCCATGTCCTGCCAGCAGACTGCCAGAATGTCGTGGCAGCCGAGGATTTGGTAAAACTTCCATGTCCTGCCAGCAGACTGCCAGAATGTCGTGACAGCCGAGGATTCGGTAAAACTTCCATGTCCTGCCAGCAGACTGCCAGAATGTCGTGCCAGTCGAGGATTTGGTAAAACTTCCATGTCCTGCCAGCAGACTGCCAGAAGTCGTGCCAGCCGAGGATTCGGTAAAACTTCCATGTCCTGCCAGAATGTCGTGCCAGCCGAGGATTTGGTAAAACTTCCATGTCCTGCCTGCAGTCCAGAAGTTCAATGTCCTGCCGAATGTCGTGTAAGTTTGTATGTCCTGCTGTAAAGTCCTGCATAGAGTCCTGGCAGCAGAATATTTGGTTTAAAAAAAGTGAATATGTATTTATGTGTGAAATAAGTTCTGTAAAATATTTATATTATTTTTGACTTAATAAAAGATGAACAGCAATTACTTTCTTAAAGCAGCACGCCTCCAGATCCATGCTAATTTTCATGAAAATTTGAAAATGTATTTAACAGTATAATATTGTGAAGTTACTAAAACAATGCAATTTACACATTATCAATGGCACCTTCAACCCACGTAAATTAAGAAGTCCAAATATGCAAAAATAGCCCTTACTGCGTTAGTAACGCAGTAGTAATATAGTTATAAATACTGAAAAATCGGTCATTAATCGCACACAACATGTAAATTATTACTATAATTTTGAATCTTTATACTTTTCCTTAAATCTTAGAACATTGTTCTCGGGTTTGATTTTATCGAAATATTTTTGCTCATCTGGAGGCGTGCAGCTTTAAGTGGCATTCATTTATTTCCGAATTTCAACAAAATGCTGTCTTTTCTAACCCTTTGTTTTTAAGTTGTTAAGGGAAAAATAACTGAAAAGGCAAAAAGAAATGGTTAATTCTATCTTTATTTAAACACACGCTTGTTTATTTATAATAGACGCTTGCAAAATATAAGTGTTATAAACATTAAAAATAAGGAAGAAAATGAGATTACAATTATATAAGGATTTCGAACCCTACTGAATCGGTGAATATTGGCTAATTCCGAGTTCCATCATAAAACCCAAAGCGCACTCTCACCTTCTTTCGACAATTTCTGTTATATTAGAGGGTATTATCCAATGTCATCATTTGAACACAAATATGACGACACGCATTCATTCTCATTAGGGAACGTAATCCTTAAACACTGATGAAAGAAAAAAGTACCTACTTAGATAAGCAAAGTATTCCATACATACCTTTCTTAAAAGATACTGTTTATATTTTATGAATAACACAAACACTAAGAAAGAAAAGACACACATAAGAAAACAAAAAAGTATATTGAAACATACAAAGCGAATTTCCAATGCTCGGTCAGTAATTACGAAACAGGTTTCTAACTAATCAAAGAACCTCACGTGTTAAACAGGAGATGGTCTAGAAGCTGTGTTGAATACATTAATTACGTTAGCATTATTTTATATTAGTCCATCAGAAATAAAGCTCTATCAGCACTTTTTAGAAAAGTCAACGCATAACGAGAACTAGTAAAAAGCAAAAGCAACAAATCCAGAAATAAAAACAATAAAGGAGAAAATAAACACATAAAGTATCTATGAAATCACACACGTTTCTATAATATTATACTCAACTAGGATAACATTAGTTATTAAAGAAAAGGCTATTTTTTTACAAATGAATTCTCTAAAAAAAGCAATCAATTTGGTCTGGCGGTTTAGTTTGTGGTAAGAATAAGGTTGGCATCAGAAGCTTGTCTGACTGGTATCCCACGTTTCGGAACATACGGAGCTGTCCTTGTAACCATTTTGATGCAGTCAATGATCGGACAGACGGACAAACACAAAGTACAGCCTAAAAATAAAACATTTAACATGTAAAATTCAATACTTTATAAATAAAAGAATAATTCATTTTTCACTTGAATCGCAGCTACCTTGTTTCTGTAAAAAACATGCTGCAGAACACTCGGTCAGGAGATAGTGATTTCCATTTGTCTTTCTGCTTCGTTTTTGAAAAGATGATTTTTTATAGTTTTTGCTGTGTTACTTGTAGTAGAACCATATTTGATTTACCTACTCGTTCTATGGAGAGCAGTAAGTCACTCACCACTTATATTGTTAACTTGTTATATGCAATTGATATGTGTTCTTTTGTGTGTGTGTTTTTATTTTTCTATTTTAGAAGGCCGAATTGTAAATAAGGTGTTACAATCTGTATATGTCTTAATGTGTTATCTTCGATAAAGTTATTATTATTACATTACTATTATTATTATAATTTGATATTCAATAAAAGTATCTCTCTTATCAAATATAATATACTTAGTCAATATCAAAAATAATTTGTATCAGAGTTACCAACATCCTCCACCTAAGGGAAGTTTTACAATAAATAGAAAATTGTGCTATTTCATAAGACTTAAGTATGGATCTGGACTTTCAGAGCAAAATTGTGATTAAAGCATGCAAATAACAATAAATCCATAAAAGAAATATAATGAAATAACTAAACAGAAGTACATTCTAGGCCACAAAATGTGACAAATATAAAATCAATACAGGGTATGGTCTGTTACAGGGTATATTTCATGTCCATTGCATGGGCCTGTGTTGGCAGTTTAGGTTTTGACCTCCAAGTGTATCCTTGACATTTGAGATAGGGATCTGGGTGTTGCGTATGACATGTCGTCTAATTATTGTAAACATTTGTGCCAAGCTATCCCTTGATTGATGAAAAGTTATATACCGGACACAAAATATACCATAGAACAGACCAAGCTTTGGACCCAAGTGAAACCTTTACCTTGAAGGTAAGGGTCCGGTGTTAAGCATGACACATCCTCCCATTTTTGTGAACATTTGTGCTACGTTTTTTTTTCAAAATCCCTTGAACAATAAAAACATTATGGACTGTGTACAAAATATACCCTATAAAAGACCATGTTAAGATTTGACCTTGACTTTAGAGGTAGGGGCCCTGGTGTTCTGCATGATACATCGACTTATTATTGTGAACACCTGTGCAAAGTAATTTCAAAATCCCTTGATCAACGAAAAAATTATGGATTGAACACAAAATATACCCTTTAACAGACCATGTTATGATTTGACCTCAAGTTTGACCTCGGTCTTGGAGGTAGGCGATTAGGTTTTACGCATGACACGTCGTCTCATTATTGTGAACCTTTGTGTCAAATATTTTCAAAATCCTTTGATAGATGAGAAAGTTATGTACCGGGCACCACAAATACCCTTGAACAGACAATGTTGACCTTTAAACACCAAGTATGACCTTGACCTTGAAGTATGGCATTTGGGTGTTGCGCACGACAAATCGGCTTGTTGTTGTGAGCATTTGCGCCAAGTATTTTCAACTTCCATTGATGGATGAGAAAGTTATGAACTGGAGACAAAATATACCATGTACAGACCAAGTATAGCCTTGACCTCCAGCTGTGACCTTGGTCTTAGAGAGAGAGAGAGAAGTCTGCGTGTTGCACATGACACATTGGAGGTAGGGAACTGGTTTTGCACATGACACATCGTCTGATCATTATGAACATTTATACCAAATATTTTCAAAATCCGTCATGGATAACAAAGTTATGGACCACACACAACATATACTCTCAAATAGACAATATTGACCTTAAATCACCAATAGTGACCTCGACCTTGGGTGTTGCGCATGAAACATCGTCTTATTATAACAAACATTTGTGCCATGTTATTTCAAATTCCTTTGAAAAATGACTTAGTTATGGGCCGGACACGAAAGTGAATGACGGACAGAAAAGGCCACTGAATAGAAAGGAGGGGGCAACTTTAAGGGCACCCTCTTGGGGCCATAAAGGAACGTTAACAATAGAGTGAAAAATAAGCATTTAAGGGGGAGGATAAGGAAAATTCCTTGCAAATATTCTACAGTTATTATACCGGTACAATCCTCAGTGACCATTGGTAGGTGAGTGTCAGGATCGAACTTGATCGCCTGGTATCCAGAATCGTTACATGTCATGTAACACTTTCCACAGTTGATACACATGTCCTGTTGACCAAAAAAATCCGTAATAAAGTCACATCAGTGTCATATATAGTCAAGCTTAGAATAGTTACTCTTAATAAAAAATATATTTTTAAACCGTCTACGAACATACTTTTTATTATTTGCTATATGAATTCACATTTTTTAAAAACTTTTTCTGTATACTATTGAACAAGTGTTAGTTAAATATACATGTACATATATAATAATTCTGCTGGAAGAAAAAAAACTTGTGGTCTATTGTTTCAATCAAATGTTTATTTTTAAGTCATTTTTTATATAAAAAAACAAGCTTCAAAACATATACATAATAGGGACTGTCGAATCTCTACAAACCTTCAATATTTATTCCTTACTCTGAAACAATTTTCTTCTTGCTATAACGAATTTAAAGAAACATAAAATATTGGGAAAAAACTTTTTTACTCAGTGACTTTTCACTGTGTAAAACAAAATATTCTACTATGATTGTATTTATATGTAAAACAATGTATTTCGATCACGTCAATACCTCATCAATAAGGGCCACTACTTGTTCTTTATTGTTCAGATCTCCATAGCTTCCAATCATATCTAATGCTCTTCCAATCACCTCCTACATGTGGAATAAATAACATAATTATATGATATAAATATTATTGGTCTAAACAATAGTCAACATAACCACTATAGGAGGACCAAACTAAATTTCTTATTCCGGTATTACTGGAAAAGGCGCTTGAATGATATGCTAAAACCTTTTCACCCGCGGAAATGTAATTTAAAACGTCTATTTTTTTCACATCGATTTATATACAAAAATGAATCAACATGGCAGATTCGGCGGAAAAAACACTATATTTTTCTACTATGTGATCATGATTTCTGCAAGCATCTAGAGTTACTGCTCCAACAATGTAGTCAAACTCCAACGCAGTAGTCCCCCTTTGCTTCGCTACATTTGAGCGTAAGCAATAAAATCACTGTGAGGTGTTTGCACTGTAGCGAGTTCAATCCATTTATAAAATCCTATTCATTGGCTAAATTGGATCAGGATAGGTTTCTTAGGTTATAGAGGTAGACACATTAACTCACCTTTACTGATGGGACAGGTTTCTTTGGTTGTAGAGGTGGACGAATGGAAGGGGGATTATTCTTCTCGTCCAAAATTTCTGTATTTTTGTAATGATCAGCAATGAGCTCTGTCCTCTTGTCTTTGTATGGACCAAATGAAGGTAGTCCCTGGAAAAAGAAATACAGATAAAATTTGTCGACGGAAAGAGATAGATGCCCCTAAGCAGGGCGCAGGAAATGAATCATGGCCTAGGCATGGTTACTATAAATAGGGTTTTACCAGAATATAGAATTATTATCAAATAGCTTTTGTCATATTATGGCCCTGGTCTTCTAAACAAGGGCCATCAGTGATGACATGCGTCGCCTCATGATAGCCATAACTTGGCTAAAAATCATTCAACCTAAAACCTGTGTAATATGCACAAGAATTGGAGCTATCGAACAATCCATTGAAATTTCATTAGTGGTATAACAGGAAAAGTCCGGACAAATTTCAAAATTAAAATCATAAAAGTGCAAAAACACTGACAAAAATCAATGGTCCGAAAAATGTTGATGAGATGCAACAAGACATGGTATTGATCATTCCCCTAAACTTTTGATAAAATTGCACCAGCAGTTTCTGAGGAGTAGTCCAGACAAACTCAACACAAAAAACAACTTTTCTATTCAAGGGCAATAACTCAGCCAAAAATCATTCAAGCGAAAAACTTGTGTATGATGCACAAGTACTTGACCTACCAATTAATCCTGTAAAGTTTTATTGAGATTGCATTAATGATATATGAGGAGTAGTCCGGATAAACTTTATTATTTCGGAGGCCATAACTAGGCTAAAAATCATTTAAGCGAAAAACCCGTGCGTGTACTATGTGCAAGTGCTTGACCTACCAATCAATCCTGTAAAGTTTCATTGAAATTGCATTAATGGTATATGAGAAGTAGTTCGGAGAAACTTTAAAACATAAAAATAATTAAAGGGCCATAACTCTGACAAAATTAATTGAACCTTAAAAACCGATGATATGCACAACTAGACTTGGTACTGATCATTCCTGTAAAGTTTGGATGAAATTGCAACAGTAGTTTTTGAAAAGTAGTCCGAACAAGCTTTTGTGTATGTGGCAACACACAGAAAAAAATACCTTTTTTATTAAAGGGCCATAACTCGGCCAAAAATCATTCAACCGAAAAACCCGTGCAATATGCGCAAGGACTTGAGCTACAGATCAATCCTGTAAAGTTTTATTGAAATTGCATTAGTGGTATAAGAGGAGTAGTCCGGACAAACTTTAAAAAGGGCCATAACTCGGACAAAAATCATTGAACCGAAAAGGTTGACGATATGCACAAATAAACTTGTTACTATCATTGGATGAAATTGCACCAGTAGTTTATGAGGAGTAGTCCGGACAAGTTTTGTGACGGACGGACAGACAGACGACGGAGAAGTGATCCCTATATGTCGCCACTACTGCGTAGAGGCGACACAAAAACATTATATGAGTATTATTAGTTCATAGAATTAATGCTTAGACAGCGTTTGCTAAAATGTCGGATAAATTTGCCGTTTGTTTTAATGTACCGTAAAAATTAACGACAACTCTCCAACTTGACCAGCCGAATAGAACGAATAGAATCAAAGTTATTCGGATAGATTCTTTACATGAAAGAGGCTCCATATTAAAGCCTCTGTCGGAATTCGAACATAACAAGGTGAATAGAGTCACGAATTCAAAATCAGGGTCATTTACCACTCAATCAAGTACAGCTTACAGTGTTTTGCTTGATATATATTTGATTGCATTAAGTTTTGACGGTGATTTATCAACTTTGTTAACGAAAATTAAAGAAAACAAGATATGTGGAGATGGCGGCAGAGCAGCGTGAAATTATTGGACTTGCGGAACTTCTGCATACGGGCGTAAAGTTCCAGTTATGATCCAAAGAACAGAGATTTTGATATGTATACAAAACTAGAACAGATTACCTTTCCTATGAGTTCGTTGAGTTTCGGCACGGGTTTTCCGAGCTGATGTTTTATGGTCGGTGGACTTTGACCATCCCAATCATTGAGGTCCTCCAGACTTTTAAGGTAGAGTAAAGCTTTTAATCCTGTCACGTAATCGTCTATAAGAGTAAAGTCCTGGTTCTGAACTGAACTGCATATCTATAAAATAGTGAAACATCCTTAACTTACAATAAACTGACTTGATGTAGGTTGCATAACTTTCAACGTATGTAACTTACGCGTGAGCTGTCTAGGTTAATTGAAAATACATAAAGCTTATATACGTAAGCTGTATTTGTTGAATATATGCATCCAATTTTGAAAAGTAATTTTGTAACCAAAAGAAATTTCGCCTAGTAACGAAATTAAAATCAATACTTTTATTATCCTGTAGTCTTAATACTTTGTAGGGATATTGATGATCGCCAGATAATGACTCCTTATAACTATCAGGTCAATAGATCAAAATTCAAGTTCATAATCAAATAACGAAAGCACTTTTTTGCCTGCCTGGTTAGTGGTGATCAGAAAATGACCCCTATTGTTATTTTGGTCGTCGTCATCGTCCGAGTTGTTGTTGTAGTGATCGTTCTAGACAGTGAAAGATGTCATCATTCGTCGAAGTCTTACTTATAGTCAAAGAAGTTGTAATCGTTGTCGTCATAGTCATAACAGCACTTGACATTGTAAAAGTCGAGGTCATGTTCGTTTTTCATAGTAGTCGTTGCCGTATTCGTGTTAGAAAAAGTAGAAATATTACCGTACTAGTAGTCTGTAAGTTGTAGACGCCCTGTAACTTGTAGCTTTATTGGTGATCATAGATGTCTAGATTACCTGTGGTCGAGATCGTCGCCGTGACCGTAAAATTCGTCGTCGTGAGTCGTGACCGTAAAATTCGTGGCATAACCGTCGATGAAGTCTTTCGAGTCGTGGTCGTTGTCGTGATGATAGTTGTCGGTGAAGTCTTTAAAGACGTATTTGAGGTCGACGTTATCGTCGTTGAAGATTACGACTTGTACATGTAGTCGTTATGGTCGAAGGAGTTGTCGTCGCCAAAGTCGTAGCTGTATTTGCAGGCATATTTTTTGTAGTCGTGGTCTTAGTCGCACTTGTAGCTATAAAATTCGTAGCCGTAGTAATACCGGTAGTTGAAGAAGTTGCAGTAGTGGTAGTGGTCGCCGTAGATGTACTGATAGTCATTAAAGTTGTAGAAGTCGAAGTCACCATCGTAGTCGTTTACGTACACGTGAGACGTAGTCTGGTGGTTGGAGCCTTGCAGAAAAAGTGATGACGACCACCATAATGAGGAGATAATAAATTGCGGAAATGTTACTGAATTTACAAGCGTTAATAGGAGTTACTAAGTTTAACGATTGTAAGAAATGCTAAGTGTTACATTAAATTATGCCCATAGTGTGCCCTTTGTATAAATGAGTTTAACACGGTGATGTGCAGCATCACAAGACGTATACAGATAACGGTAAGCTGTATACGGTGTAAGTTGTTAACTGTGTTACAGTCAACATATACAGCCGACTCGTAAGCTGTATACGGTGACAGTTGTTAACGGTGTTACAGTCGACATATACAGCCGACTCGTAAGCTGTATACGGTGTCCGTTGTTAACGGTGTTACAGTCAACATATACAGCCGACTCGTAAGCTGTATACGGTGTCAGTTGTTAACGGTGTTACAGTCAACATATACAGCCGACTCGTAAGCTGTATACGGTGTCAGTTGTTAACGGTGTTACAGTCAACATATACAGCCGACTCGTAAGCTGTATAAGGTGTAAGTTGTTAACGGTGTTACAGTCAACATTGACAGCCGACTCGTAAGCTGTATACGGTGTCAGTTGTTAACGGTGTTACAGTCAACATATACAGCCGACTCGTAAGCTGTATAAGGTGTAAGTTGTTAGCGGTGTTGCAGTCAACATATACAGCCGACTCGTAAGCTGTATAAGGTGTAAGTTGTTAACTGTGTTACAGTCAACATAACAGACGACTTGTAAGCTGTATAAGGTGTCAGTTGTTAACGGTGTTACAGTCAACATAAACAGACGACTCGTAAGCTGTATAAGGTGTAAGTTGTTAACTGTGTTACTGTCAACATAAACTGCCGACTCGTAAGCTGTATACGGTAACAGTTGCTAAAGGTGTTACAGTCGACATATACAGCCGACTCGTTAGCTGTATACGGTGTAAGTTGTTAGCGGTGTTACAGTCGACATATACAGCCGACTCGTAAGCTGTATACGGTGACAGTTGTTAACGGTGTTACAGTCAACATATACAGCCGACTCGTAAGCTGTTTACGGTGACAGTTGTTAACGGTGTTACAGTCAACATATACAGCCGACACGTAAGCTGTATAAGGTGTCAGTTGTTAACGGTGTTACAGTCAACATATACAGCCGACTCGTAAGCTGTATAAGGTGTTAACGGTGTTACAGTCAACATATACAGCCGACTCGTAAGCTGTATAAGGTGTCAGTTGTTAACGGTGTTACAGTCAACATATACAGCCGACTCGTAAGCTGTATAAGGTGTTAACGGTGTTACAGTCAACATATACAACCGACTCGTAAGCTGTATAAGGTGTCAGTTGTTAACGGTGTTACAGTCAACAGATACAGCCGACTCGTAAGCTGTATACGGTGTCAGTTGTTAACGGTGTTACAGTCAATACATACAGCCGACTCGTAAGCTGTATACTGTGTCAGTTGTTAACGGTGTTACAGTCAACATATACAGCCGACTCGTAAGCTGTATATGGTGTCAGTTGTTAACGGTGTTACAGTCAACATATACAGCCGACTCGTAAGCTGTATAAGGTGTCAGTTATTAACGGTGTTACAGTCAACATATACAGCCGACTCGTAAGCTGTATAAGGTGTCAGTTGTTAACGGTGTTACAGTCAACATATACAGCCGACTCGTAAGCTGTATAAGGTGTAAGTTGTTAACGGTGTTACAGTCAACATTTACAGCCGACTCGTAAGCTGTATAAGGTGTCAGTTGTTAACGGTGTTACAGTCGACATATACAGCCGACTCGTAAGCTGTATACGGTATCAGTTGTTAACGGTGTTACAATCAACATATACATCAACCTTTCTGAAATTGTTTATGCAGTCCATTTGAAGTTTAAGGGATTTCAATGCCAAATAAAAAACAAACTTAGGTATTTCAAACAGTTCGAACAAGAAATTGTGAAATGATCAATGATCTCATACACAAAATCATGCACATCATTATATTTAATATGTTTACCTGCAGAACAGAAGCCCCCGAGTGAAGAAACTGGAGCCCAGCCTCAGCGGAATCTATTCCACCAGTAGCTAGAATCGGAAAACCAGGAAGTTCTTTGGCAATGGCGGAGACAGCGCGTAGAGCTATAGGCCGGATAGCGTTTCCGGAGACACCTCCATATGTTGTTTTCCTGCTCTTGCCAATATTTGGCCATGCCTGACCTTGGCCTTTTAGTCCCATAAGACCTGATACCGTATTGGTAGCGGTGACGCCGTCAGCTTTTCCTAATAAAGTACATTTGAAATGGTAAGAACTATGATATTACGGCCGTTAAGGAACCGTAGTTAAGACATTGTACATTACTACTATTGCCGCATTTATAATCATTTTAGGCTACGAATAACTTTTTAGGTAATTTTTTATTTCGAAGACCTATGAACAATGTTGTCTTGTGTAGTATAGACATTTATACTACAACCATTTCTGTTGAGAGTGTTTTTTTCTCCGGGTAGAAAAATTTTGGATATGCATAACAGCATGCGATATAAACCAATAAATCATTCCCGTGACAAATACGCAATATAATTGATGCTCATATAAAATTGAAGACAATGAATTATACTAAGGGAAACACCTGTGGTAACATAATGATATTTATATAACTTAACCGCTTTATTTATATATCCCATAAAACATGTCTTGTCAATATCGTGTCTTGTTTTTTTTAATGATTCGGTCTAAAGGCGGCATTATTTACTTTGAAGTATTGTGGACACTTATCCATTCCAAATTTTTACTGCCCCTCAATAACAATACATGTATCACATTTACACACTTAGATGTGCTATACACAACCCAGTCTAAACACCGATACTACAAGAATGTGATAAGCAAAAAAACTAGTTTTTACTAGTGATGCTAGGGTCGAACTCGCAAGATCTCAAGCAAAAGGGAAATATTCTAGCACTACACTACAAGAGCCGTTGAATCAGTTGAAATATATGTTTGTGTAATTTTATTACCTTCATAAGCAGCTCTTGCAATGGTCACTATGCTGGTCACATTCGGTGTCAGTTTAGCAAAGAATGGTATTTTCACTGCTGCTCGAACCCATCGACATATATTTCTAACCAGCTCTGGGTCCTGGCCACATGCAAGACCCATACCACGTTCACCCATACCATGGGGGCATGACAAGTTTAGTTCCAGAGCATCAGCACCCGATTTCTGAAAGAGATGACTTGTTTTTTTACATAAACGATTACATTTTCTACATTAGACAATAAATTTGATATATTATTTATATGTAACTGTTTACAATTTTACATATATGTTGGGTTTAAGTCACTACCACACTGAAAAAGGCCATACTCATGGAGACGCCCCTATTTTACTGATGAAGGAAGACAATAGGTTTCCTTCCGTTCATTATTTAAGGCACGAGATGGTACATGATTAGGATTTTTAATCTTCTTTTTAATCAGGATAGTTTCTTCACACAATCCTAAGTTCCTGCTGAGATTCAAATCTACAATAGTGAGAGTCGAGTGACTTAAATAAAGCCCTTTACAACTGGGGCAGGGATGCTCTTCTTTTAATATATTCGTTGAATTATAGACCAAGATGTTATAATTGTCAGGTTAGTTCCTTTAAGTTAGGTTAGTTTCTTTACCTCGGCCATGATGGCAAGTTCGGTCCAGTCCTCTCTGCTAAAACTGCACATTATACTCGCAATGATTATCTGGTAATGAAGAAGTTATATAAACACTGAGTATAAATGTATTAATTTTAATGTCATGCACGTAGAGTATTAAAATATATACTAGTATGTGTTAGATCATATAAAGGAGCATGTATCCATGAATGATAGAGATGTCAAACTTAATTTAAGCAAGGTCAGGACATGAACAGGTCTCACATTTACTTTAAGTTAGACCAAGAGCATTCGGTAGAACAGCTTGTGCAGCTATTTGAAGTACTTGATAGTTAAGAACAAGGGTCTGGATAATGTAAAAATATTTTTAGTTTAAAAGGGACGCAATTCTATCAAAATCTACCTATTTGGCCTCCTATAATGATCTTAAATAAGTGTGTCAAGTTTCAACCCATTCCCTTCAGTAGTTTTGGATATACATGTACAGGCTTATACCCAAAAGCTTAACCAAAGTGTGGTGTGTGCATACAATAGCTCTCCTTATTTTTTTAGTTTAAATGGCTAAAATTTTTACAAAATGGTAGATACAAGGATGTCACTGGAGCTTGTCTTAGTATGTTTGGTTTTCAAATTCGTTTCAAAAATAGCTTTAGATGGATTCTTTATTCTTTTTATTAATTATTTTTTTTACTTAAACATCTTTGAACCTGTGTAAGCATGAAACATATCTACTACATGTATATATATTGTTTACCTTGCAATTTTGGCATGTAACTAAAGGTTCAAAATACAGTCAACAAATATTTCAAAAATTTGTTTAGAAACAATTATCCAAGTCAGTAACATAACACGAAGCTACTATTGGTGTATAAAAAACAAAATAAAAAAGATTCACCTTATCTGGGAAATCTTTTTTCAATTCTGTCACACTTTTGCACCAGTATTCGGCTGTTTTCTCACTAATGAGTTCAATGTTCAGGAATGAGCCTTGGCCAGGTCCAAACATATGTCCAGATGTTGTTCCACGTACAATACGAGGTGATACATTTGTAACAAGGTCCTAAAAAACAACAATTTATACTTCTTCATTGGTTTATTCCGATTGACAGCTGGAAGAATCCGTGATTATTGTTGCCTAATTGAATATTTCCCCATTTTAATACGTACTAGTATATGCTTTGTAATGTTTTTACAGCAAGTCGTCTGTTAAAATAAAAAACACTGCACAAGGCATATTATCGTTAACAAAATTTAGGAGCAAAAACTGACCTTATCCTCAGCCAATTGATTTCTTCCAGCAAATGTTAGTTATAATGTACTCTAAAGAGTTTGTATGTAGTAACACATAACATTTGAATGAGATTTTGTTGATATTCTTATATTATCATTTCATTACAAATTACTATTCATGTTTATTAAATGTTTTTGTTTCATTAAGTATTCAATAATGCTGATTTCATATTATAAAAAAGAAGATAAAAGAAAAGATCTTTTATGGTACCTTGTCAAGAGCAAAGGTTTTTGTTAATGCAAATCCCCAACCTTGCTCAAATGCACGCCGGATCATGGCACTACTTGTTGTAGGTGGGGCACTGGCAAGACCAAAAGGGTTCGGAAACTTAATACCACATATCTCAACGCTCACGTCTACCTGATCTATAGGTGTGAAAAATTTGGGTAACGAGGGAACTTCCGGTACTTGTTGGTTTTGTAACGACTAAAGGAAAAACATCAAATACAAAATAAAAATGAAAATGTAATCAAACAATTAAATATTTTCAATGCGTCTTATTTTACTTTACTTTATTAGATAAGTTATTATTCAAATAATTAGGAAAATATCAAATTTTGTAGGGAAATACAGGACTGCTGTTAAAAAAAGAACGTTGTAAAGAAAATAAAACTGTACCTAAACCCTTTTTATATTGTTTGTTCTTGAAAAAAAAACTTAATATTTGTATAGAAATTTGTCAACAATATTCCATCATCGTGTTCACACCTGCAGATATTTGTGGAGGTGCCATGAGGCCTGTTTGCCATCATTGACAGACTCCACAGTTGTCTGGGCCACACCAGCTATATCTCCACCACAAAACACCCAAGGCTCACTCGACTGCATTGTATCCGTATCTACTTCCGGTAGATTCCATTGATTGAATTTGATTGGCTGCATGGCATCGATCACTGGAAAACATAAAATCATTATGAAGATCCACATTTTTGTACTGGTATGAAGAGAAAGAACAAACAATGAATATAAAATGTAAGCTAAATGGTTGAAATCAAATGTAAGCTGGAAAAAAAACCCGCAATGCTTCCTCTAAGATAAACAAAATTGAAGATCTCACCTAAGAGTCCAGTAAAATCTGATTTTTTAGACGAACGATCATGAGAACTACTGTCATTGTTTTTGAGTTTGTTTTTCATGTATCTATTTGCTTTTGGCTCTATCATCTTTTATTCTGATGCTGTATGAAACTAGCTCTTTTATAAAAGTTAGTATGCTAACCTGCAAATGTATTCAGGTTCGACAACTATGTCACTGTGTTTACTTACTGTCCGTATCCGATAATCCAGAGCCAAACGCTGATATGATATAGTCGACCTTTAATTTAATTGCCTCATCCTCATCCTCTATCCATCCGCCTTCGTCCGTCTGTTCAGTTCGTACAAACTCCATACCGGAAACACGTCCGTTCTTTATAACCACTTTTCGGGGTGAAAGGAAGGGAAGGAACTCGCATTTCTCGTCTTTGGCAAGATCCATCTTAAGTAAAGTTATTAAACTTAGTTGATTTTTGCGCAGAAATAATTTGATTTTTAAAAAATGTGAATTTAATATTGCTATATACAAGTAAAGGATATTTTACTACGAAATATTAAAAAATGGTATTATTTCATACAAGAAGAAGATAAAATGATGAAACATTCCGTACTAGTTGCAGTCCATTATGTAAGGACACGGCACAGGCATGGCAAAATATGCAGGTAAATAAGTATGACTGACTTGTAATTTCATTGATAAACATCCTATACAAAGTATAAAGATAATGTAATTACAGTTAGTTATGTACCGGTTTTTAAGTACTGAAAGACACCCTGTTGGAGTTAAAATATAATTTTCTATTTTAATTTTGCATTCCCTAGAAAAGCATGTTAACCTTCTCCTAAGCAAAAACTGTTAAAACAAACCACTTTGTTCTTTTTTGTCCTAACAAGATACTGAAAGCGTTTAAAAATATTAGCAAATTCATTTACTTATTGGAGAGGGCGGAAGAATAAAGATATAATTGAATGTGAACCAATACTTAGTATCAGGCGATTTGTTCACAAGCTCATCAAAACACATCATATGTCTTCTGACACTGTCGCTTGTATTCCCTTTCTCTTCATGGCAAAATTCAATCATACAAACGAATTTCATGCAAATTAGAAAAGAACGAAAATCAGGGGAGACAAAGTTACAGATTTTAGAAAAATACAGAATAAATACTAGTACCTCTTCCGGCACAGCCCTGATGTTGGTAAATCCTTTCCTGAACACAACAAACACCCTCTTGGCTCCGCACCTTAATGCTGAGGTGGCACAGTCAAAGGCCGTGTCTCCTGCACCAAGCACTATTACCTTGCCTAAAATATACAAGTTTTTTTTTTCGAAAAACAAGAAACCGAAGCAAAACGGTTAAAAAGATTAGGTCGTATCGGCACTGAACATGTCAGATGGCGACTTAATAGCTGTACTGGTGGAGGAAGACATCAGGTGACTCTCCATACCACGAATTTCAGGTCAGCCGTATTATTTCATCAGAAAAGAAAAATTGTCGACGATTATGATCAAACTTATTGCCGTCGATGGAATGTCAGATTACAAAAACATAGTTTCAGATTAAATAACAGGGTTCAAGCATTTGAAAATATCATCAGTTTTCGCGTAATTCTTTTCGACCGGAAGTACTACAAATTGTTGTCGTTTGCACATTACGCGCTCTAATTGAGCCTTATATTAAAGATAAAGGCTACACAAAATAAATAATTGAAAGAAAAATACCCGAGAGGTGAGGAAGCTGTGATTTACAGGCACACATGCCGGGCTTGCTGGCCTTGGTCACCTTGGGTAGGAAATCTTTAGATGTGTAAAACCCCATGTCTTCCGTAAGGTTCTCAAATATTGAAATCTTTTTAGGGTCCGGTAAACCTGAAAATTGCAAACATCTCATTTCTGGCAGACTGAAATAATACTGATTTTCAATAAAACAAAGCAGACGAGATTTAAACTTCATTGAATCAAAATTTTGAAAAATCTTCCAAAGAAATCTTATTTCTGGGTATGAATAATATAGATCTGAAAAGCGATTTTGAATTGGGGTTCTGCAAATGTAACATGTATCTAAAAATTCAATTCGAAATTTAACCAGTACAAGGTCATATACTTCTATTCAGCGGGGGTAAGGCATACTTATATTGTTTTATGCAAGTTACATGTACATACCAATTCCCACGAATACAGCAGAAAAGCCATCTTGTTTTAGTTTGTTTAGAGTCAAATCATTAGTTGCCAATGCACGTCCTGTCTCAATCTGAGAATGACAACGGCACTAAGTGATAATGATAATCGTACCATAAAACTAGTCCCTTTTATATACTTATAAAGACAATTATGAATAATATTTATTAAATTAACTTCATATTTTCATTTTTAGTATTCTCACTGTAAAATATTTTTTCACTGCAGTGAAACATATTTTCAGTATTTCCACTGATCTGGTGTCTGGATTACTCCTTTCTAAATTCAAACAATACACAAACTTAAAGGCAAAGGCTTTCGAATCTTAAGATAGCAAACAGAAAATTCAAGATTTTTCTTTAAATACGGGATCAATTTTCATCTTGTGTTATGAAATTTATCATATTTCATGCCACTCGGTGAAGAACATTATTTATAGGTTAACTTCTCTTTTATATTGTTAACATGGTATCTTTATTTAACAATATTGTTTAACAGCAATGTTATTTATCTAAAACCGAAACAACAATTTTCGGTGAACTAAATTAGACATGAAAAGTAAAAGAAATGGAATAAAAAAAATTGATCAAGTTAAAAAAACACAAGAGAACCTTGATGACCATTATATCGCTCACCTGATTAAGGAACAACAAATATGTTAACTATCAATGACAAGGATCATTCCTGAATAATTCCATCAAAATCTAGCACGACAGCTGTTGTTGTCATCTTGTTCAGCAGACCGAAACCATTCGAGCATTTTATTTTATAGAAAACTCTCCATTGAGCTTTATCGACATTTACCAAATAATAAAGTAGTAGATCTCGATTATAGGTTTTTCTATTTTTAGCTTCGGTGGCCATCTTGTTCAGCAGACCGAAATAATTTGAGCAATTTTTGGAGGGGATTACCAAAGGATCATTCCTGTATATTTTCATCACTGCTGGTGAATGGGGTTTAGGGGAAGATATCGTTTAAGTAAAAATGTTAACGACGAATGACTGACGACGGACAAAGGGTTATCACAATAGCTCACTTTGAGCACGTTGTGCTCAGGTGAGCAGATCGGTTTAAAAATAAATGGCTACTAAGATTGAGTACTTAACTAGGTGGTATTGGCCATCGATTGAAATGCATTTGCTTAGACAAAAACGACTTCCCCAGTCAAAGAAAATGAAGGTAATGCTCTAAGTCAAACATATTAGGTTTCTTCATATGACACCAGTACTGGTTGGCTCCAGGAAGCGGACTCGAAAGTGATAAATATAAGTTTCAAGAACTTGTTTCTCAACCGAGCTTAAATAAATAGGTTTAAATTGAATCAAATTGAACATATTAGGTCAAACATTCCCATCTGTTTCGGATGATGGTAGTATATTTTCAACGACTAAAATTTGCTGCACCCACTAGAGACTTAAATATTTGTGAATTCCAAATTCTTATTTGAAAAGGGTCCTTTTCATTTAAATGATTTTGACCTTATGTACTGGTTTAAATGGACCGTAAGTTATAGGATTGAAATGTTAGATTGAGATATAATTTTAAATATTAACAAGAGCACCGCTAGGCGGAGCATTATATGTCCGAAAGTGTTTTTTTAGTAAGGATGAAGCATTTGTAAGACATAACATTAATAAAATAAAGTATTACCTCCTTCAAATAGCAATCCTCCTATAAAGTTTAAATATTGTGGGCCAAATGGAACTTAAGTTATGCTCTGGAAACTGTTTTCAGTTTTGAGGTAATAGCGACCTTGAACTATGACCTTGTGACCCCAAAATCTATAGGGGTGCTCTACCCAATATGGACAATCATCCCATGAAGTTTGAACACTATGGGCCAAATAGACCTTAAGTTATGCTCCGGAAACTGTTTTCAGTTTTAAAGTAATAGTGACCTTGACCTTTGACCTTGTGACCCCAAAATCAATAGGGGTTTTCTACCCAATATGGACAATCATCCTATGAAGTTTGAATATTGTGGGCCACATGGAATATAAGTTATGCTCAGGAAACTGTTTTTAGTTTTAAAGTTATAGTGACCTTGACCTTTGACCTTGTGACCTCAAAATCTATAGGGGTCTTCTACCCAATATGGACAATCATCCCATGAAGTTTGAATATTGTGGGCCAAATAGACCTTAAGTTATGCTCCGGAAACTGTTTTCAGTTTTAAGGTAATAGTGACCTTAACCTTTGACCTTGTGACCCCAAAATCAATAGGTTTCTTCTACCCAATATGGACAATCATCCCATGAAGTTTGAACACTGTGGGCCAAATGGAACTTAAGTTATGTTCCGGAAACTGTTTTCTGTTTTAAGGTAATAGTGACCTTGACCTTTGACCTTGTGACCCCTTAAATCAATAGGGGTCTTCTACCCAATATGGACAATCATTCTATGAAGTTTGAATATTGTGGGCCACATTGAACTTAAGTTATGCTCTGGAAACTATTTTCAGTTTTAAAATAATAATGACCTTGACCTTTGACCTTGTGACCCAAAATCAATTGGGGTCCTCTACCCAATATGGACAATCAGAACACTGTGAGCCAAACGGAACTTAAGTTATGCTCCGGAAACTGTTTTCAGTTTTAAGGCGATAGTGACCTTGACCTTTGACCTTGTGACCCCAAAATCAATAGAGGTCTTCTACCCAATATGGACAATTATCCAAATGGAACTTAAGTTATGCTCCGGAAACCAAATTGCTAACGGACGGACGGACAGACGGACGGAGAGACAGACAGGACAGACGGACGCCATGGGGTATAACATAATATGCCCGAAATTCTTTCGGGCATATAAAAAGAAAACAACATAAACATGAACAATTTGGTGGAAATGCAACAGAAGACCGGAAAATCAATGTCCCTTCATACGAAGACATCAAAAAAACTGTTAAGACACTAAGTAAATGAGGTGAAATTTGATATAATCTAATAAGGTCATATTTGCCTAACCTTAGGTGACTTATTTCGTGTTTGAAAACTCTACCCTTAATGAAAGGAGAGATAGTTTAGGATTGTGATAATTTGGAGTTTACTGTGTCATGGATAGATCCTTATATATCCTGTCTAATTCAAATTGTCAGATTAGTGCATTACAATAAGAATTTCACCAAAACATATCTGTTAACAAAAGAGCACATGTTCATGTTTGTGGTTATATTGTTATTGTTATTGTTATTGTTATATTGTTATTCAAATAAAAGGTCAGAGTAGGGATCAATCAATTGAGCTTAAGTGTTTTATTGGGCTAAATTTATCGAGCAGATATTGTAAATATCATCGCTTGCTTTATTGTCTTGAAAATGTTTTTGCCTGACCTTGACCCCTAGATCCTTCATAAGCTGGACCTCAAAGTCTACCACACTGTACGGCAATCGGTACTGGGGTATCTCGGAAGAACTGAAATAATTGCGCAGGTAAAGCAGGAAATCTTTTCAAGAATATAAAATATATTTAAACAATTATAAAAGACTCCACAATATGTTTGCAGTTGTTTTGCTAATGATAGTTACATAGAGAAAAAGTTTTGATAGCGTCACACCAAGACAGTGGAGGTAATATGGCGACTTTCCAGCTTTACTGGTGGAGAAAGATCTTAGGTGTCCATCTGTGCATTATTTCAGGCATGAACGGGCGCCTCAGTAGAACCACCGACGTTCCGTAAACTAGCTGGTTAGTTTCTTGAATCCATACATGAAAGCCTCTCAAGTCCCTAGGGAGATTCAATTACACAGCGGTATAGAAGCGGCTATCAAACTGTAACAACTATAGAAATATCATCAGTTCATCAGGAGAAGGCAACATGTATAATGTACTAAACAATGTAGAAAAATACCAGAAATGCCTTTACTTTCAAATAGATCAAGCCACGCCCTTAAAATTTTAGATTGGTTTAAAGCACGTTTCAAACCAGTGCGAAAATATACATTATTCAAAACGTTAAAAATCATTTATTTTTAATATAAAACATCATAAAACAAAGTCAGTTAAAATCAAATGTTGATCTGTTCAAATATAAATTACATTATATGCGGAAATGGGTACACGTTTATGAACCGATGATTAAAGCAAAGCAAATCACAGCAAAGCAAAGCAAAACTAGTCATGGTGTATAAATGACTTCATTTTGTTTGTTTTTATTATCAAAAGCTATAACCAAAAATAACCAAAATGATGCACGGTGTCAAAAAACTTGTTTGCAATTATTCATGCTTAAGGCCGTAAAAATGATTCTGCAGAAAGTGAAATTTCTATTTTCCAACCACGAGGTTGAAATTCTCTGTATGTGGTTAATTTATTCGTATGCTGATATATCTGTATTATAGTGACTTTATTTTATGAATGTATGAGATTCCATACCTCAAACCGCCAATGTATTTTTCCTTCTCAAAAATGGTCAAGTTGCTGTACCCGAGCCGAGCCAGGAACGTGGCACAGCTTATACTAGCAGGACCACAACCTATTAGTGCAACCTTGGCCTTATAGCTGTCTGGCATGTCAGATTCCGGTGGAAGGCTCGGGTCTCTGATTTGTGGAATTCTCATCTCTTTGAAAACCTGCAAAGTATGACGTCTATGTTATCATCTATATTGAGAACGAAATTGTTCTTTTGCCAGTTTTCGTCTTTTCGACCTTTTTGTCTATTTGATGTAAAACCCGACGTGAAAATTTCAGCTACTATGTTCGTCATTTTTTAAAACATTCGTATTCCCCCATTTTCATTTTTATAATGAACTAGTTTTGAAAAGATGATTGCAAACGTGATCAACTTTATTAATCAAGTTCAATGAACGTGGATGTACTTTCAGTATGAAGCCAAACCTGCCTGAACAATGGTAAAATGATAATAAACACGTCTAAAATGAAACTAGAGTAAGTCGTGGTACACTTTTAGCGGTGTTATAAATGGAAAATAGAAATGAGGAGCTATTTACTTCAGTAGCGTATTGCTGCAGCCCTCCTATGTTGATAGGTCCTTCCTCGGACGCGTAAAGGTTACATCCACCCACACAGAGGTCACTGGTCGGACACACCATACCGCATGTCAGGCCCAGCGGGTTGTCCGAAAATATAGCTTTCGCTGCTCCATAATAATTCTTGAAACAAAAAATGAACTAATGAGGTTAAGCGTCAAAGAATTTTTTTTAAAATTAGTTATAGCTGAGTGACGCAAGTTATTAAGGCACTGAGTAAAACAAGATGTATATAACACTGTACTTTTGGGTTCTGCTTAAAACGAGTACTGACGTATTTTCGCACAAGTTAAGGATAGTAGATACGAGTACTAGTACATCACTTCTTACTAAGTGACAGTAAAATACTGATGTATTTGTTTCTTATTTAATCCAAGAAATAAATGTTTTATGAACTTTACCACCTTAGATACCACAAAAATTATGACAATATAAAAACTAAATGTACTGTAAATGTATTCATAACTGTTACAGATGTTTCAAAGAGCCTTCTATTTTGAGTAGATTGGTGACATATTGAACCACAAATTAAACATAATGGGGATGCATATAATATAATAATAAAATGCAGAAAATATTATCTAACAATTCAATTTCTGTTTAACAATAAGGACTTGTAACAGTAAAAGTTAAAAGTAACATTCAAGAGACTAAAATTGCATGAGGGCTAAATCTGTAAAAAAAATCATTTAATTAATCAAGAATTTACAAGAAAAAAAGTCACATCTACACGGAATGACCATGGTCACTCTATCAGTCAGTAAATGCCTTAAAGTAAATGTATTTTAGTTGACATCTCGTAGAAGGCTTCTGATTTAAAATCTTAAAGATTTTAATTTTTCTTACGTTTGTCAGGTATCAAAATCAGAACTTATATTCTTGGTCAGTGTAATGAATTCCTAAATTTGGCATCCATCTCGGGAGCCATCTTAAAAGTTTTATTTACAGGATGACACCCTACAACATATTAATATAGAAATGTTATCTCCCTTTGGTATAACTAGATATAGTCATCAGATACTATGGTATTAATAAGATTGAATCATTAAATGTGTATGTGTCATACAATCGCTACAATTATCGGCGCACAACGCTAGTTTAACAGCAAATACTATTTTAATATTGTTATGTATTATTACACTTAGAACACAGCAACATATAAATATATCTTACTTAAAGGACATAAAAATATAATTTGCACAAATTGCAAAATATAACATAAACTATCGTCTTCTTTTCGTTTTTCAATTTCTTACTTCCTTCCTTATAATTATCTAAGTTTACCATTGACATTAACTACAAGATATTAAACTATCACTAAAATTCATTTTATTGATTAATTTTTTATGACGTAAATTGAGGTCGTTGTCTTAGGTTAAAGGGACTCCACTGAGGTTTTTTGACATGATTGGACTGGAAATATTTTTTCCAGATAAATGTGCCATTTGATGTAGGTTTAGACCACTAATCTTTGTGCAAAATTTCAGATCATTCGCGCACTTGGTTTATCCAAAATAATATTATTCAAATTGTAAAAAAATGACCCAAAATGAAAAGTGTTTAAACGCTTTTCAATCAAATCGGGCTAAGAAAGGCATTAACATACGATTTTCAATTTATTTCAAAGTATAGTTCTTCACGATCTTTGCATATATTTCTGTTTAATGTGCCCCAGCTTATTTATGTAAGATATTCAAATGTTATGTTTTTAAGACTCTTAAGCCTCAGTGGAGTCCCTTTAAAATTTAATATGTATTTGTGTAACACACTTTCAGTACGATTGGGTTGTTATAACGTATATCCATATACCTTGTTTGAGATACTGGTGATGAACGATTTAATATCAAGTTGAGTCGGGCAGCTTTTTTGACACGGCGCATCTGCACATTTCAGACATCTGCAATTAAAAAAAAAACAACTTAGTTTTAAATGAGATTTAAATGTATATTTTACCAAGTTTTCATTTATTTCAACATTTTATAAATCTTATTTTGGCTGTTCTTAAGCATGACAAACAAACCTTTAGATTTTTAGGAAGCATGCAGATAATATCCAAATTGCATCGCGCTTTATAAATTTTGGCGTACACCATATAATATAATTGGACACCATTTAACTTATGTTGCTATAATTTGAAATAAATGGAGGCTATATTTTAGATTTACACATACCTTGCAGCCTCACGGAGAGCAGCCCTTTCACTTAAGGTTGTGTGTTTTATATCTTCAAAGTTGTTCTGCAGCGGGGGACACGACTGTTAAAGCAATATCAAACTGGTATTAAATAACGTACTTTCGATGCTACTTAAACTAAAGGCACTTGCACACGTCTAATCTAAATACCGGACAGGCTAATAAATCGTGTTACTCGGGTTAAATGTTTGCATTAAATAAGATAAGAAACAAGGTTCAATGTAGGTTAAGATTATATCAATCATGTAGTGTGTTTCCGGCCAATACTAAAGATAACCCAATTTAAGTTAGTATGGTAGCTGACTTGTGCCATTTCGTATTTTGCTCCGCGGGTCGCCAGGCTAAAACACGAAAATACGACAAAGTGACGACTGGTCGTATTTTCGTGATTTCGCCTGGCGCCCAGCAGATAGAAAATACAAAATGGCACAAATCAGCAAGCATAGTAAAGTGTTTACTAACGGATAAAAATGTGGGCATGTAAAGTTTATAAATTCCAAAAGCCTTTGTAATGTTCAGAAAAGAGCAGCCGCGACTATTCGGCTCATTCGTCATAGTTCGGAAATGATAAATCGTCGAAGGTTAATATTGTAACGGTACAGACCCTGCATTTTTTCTCTACAATCTTTATATTTCCTTTTTCTTTCTTTCTCTTTTAATGTGTTATGCAGCATTATATTTTTAATATAATGTTTATGCACCTCTTTAAATAAGTTATGAACAGTTTAAAGTCAAAAGTGGGCGAGAAACCGTAGTGTCTATATATGTATGTGCACTGAAAAAAATAATGAATCAAGTGTTCTTAATTTCTTATTTCCTTTCCTTTATGGTTGAAATCCTGAATCAACAAAGTTAAGTGTTTAGCTATGAAAAAATATCCTGTTTAATTGATAACAATGCTCAAACACTATTTGTTCGATTAAGTGGCCATTTTATGAAAATTAAGTTAACGATGACAAACTATTGTTTGATCACTATATTTTCTGTATTTCAATATTCAAAATCTTTCAAATTTTGGTCAGCCAAAGGGTTCAACGTGAACTTTTCCCATTTCTTAATTTGTTAAGTCACGGGGATTAAACAAATACTTGTTTAAAATGCTTAACAGTGCAAAGTATTAACCCAAAAATATTCATTTTAACAAGACATGATACTATGACTAATCATTATTTGGAATACTTTGCCGATTATGAATTAATACGAGGTCGGAAAGTATCTATGACTTACCGTACATCCTCTTGTAGGAAAGTATCTATCACTTACCGTACATCCTCTATCCGAGGTCGGAAAGTATCTATCACTTACCGTACATCTTCTATCCGAGGTCGGAAAGTATCTATCACTTACCGTACATCCTCTATCCGAGGTAGAAAAGTATCTATCACTTACCGTACATCCTCTATCCGAGGTAGAAAAGTATCTATCACTTACCGTACATCCTCTATCCGAAGTCGGAAAGTATCTATCACTTACCGTATATTCTCTATCCGAGGTCGGAAAGTATCTATCACTTACCGTACATCCTCTATCCGAGGTCGGAAAGTATCTATCACTTACCGTACATCCTCTATCCGAGGTGGGAAAGTATCTATCACTTACCGTACATACTCTATCCGAGGTAGGAAAGTATCTATCACTTACCGTACATCCTCTATCCGAGGTGGGAAAGTCCTCTATCCGAAGTCGGAAAGTATCTATCACTTACCGTATATTCTCTATCCGAGGTCGGAAAGTATCTATCACTTACCGTACATCCTTTATCCGAGGTAGAAAAGTATCTATCACTTACCGTACATCCTCTATCCGAAGTCGGAAAGTATCTATCACTTACCGTATATTCTCTATCCGAGGTCGGAAAGTATCTATCACTTACCGTACATCCTCTAATCCGAGGTGGGAAAGTATCTATTACTTACCGTACATACTCTATCCGAGGTAAGAAAGTATCTATCACTTACCGTACATCCTCTTGACGCATTACGTTTCCAATGTTTCTTGTTTTCTTTTGTACGAGCACTTGGCACGAGTTTTGCGTGCTTGGTAACACGTGGATTCAAAGCAAGAATATTCTGTAAGAGAATGAACAAATAAATGATAGTATTGGGTATCTTGATCGGGCTTGGTGCCATTATTTTGCAAAAGGAATGCATTCCATTACCACTACTATGGAGTTTGGTGCAGTATCAGTACCTTCTTGAATCACCAAAACTCAAAAAATGGTAATAAAACAACAATCGTGCAATTATCAATATATACGAAAACAATCATATAGGACAGTCAGGTACAAACTGTTGAAAGAGTCTATTTATTATTGTATACTTTAACGGTGTAAGATTTTATTTGTGTATTGGCTATATGAATTAGAAATGAATTTGGGAGTGTCCGTGGTCGTGTCGTTAAGGTTGTTGACTTTAAACAACTTGTCCTGCACACTAGTGGGTTCGAATTCGACCCGCTACTTTGGATTCCTTCATGTAGAAGCTATCAAGCTAGCTTACGAAACGCTCTTCTCAGATGCTTGTTCGTGACAGAGGTCTTGCTCCACCAATAAAACTGAATATTCGCCATATGATCTTGGCAGGACGAAAACCCCAACCGAAAAATAACATTCTGAATTGTCTCCATTCACAAGAATTTGACACGACACTTACTGGTCGACTTAACTTAAGCAAAATGAGGTTCTTTATGATTTATTATGAATGTTTCTATTGAATCGAATTATATTCTAATTGTATACAAATCAAGTCTTGGATTGCTCCCATTCTTTCGTTACTTCTGCTAATTTTAATACTTGTTAAAGTTTTAAATAATAATAATAATAATAATAATAATAATAATATTAATAATAATAATAATTATAATAATAATAATGATAATAATAACAATAATATTTTGAGAAGGTGACATATTAAGAGTACATAATAAACATACAACATATTTCCAATATGGTCTTCTATACATATATAAACAGAAAACAGATATAACGATAAACAGCAATATCATTACGACAAACTCTCTTACAAAATACATAGCATATTTGTGGATTATAAATACTAAGTTCTTAACTTCGTATGCACATACAATCACCAATCAATGTTAACAAACAAACAAAACGCTATAGAGAGCTATATAAATTTCTGTTAAAAATCAGTTGTTTTTTTTGCGCCTTAAGCTGTATTTTTTATTAATTAATCCTTTAGTTTACCCTTAAAAGATGACAATTTACTTTGTAGTTTTATTTCAGTTTATAAATGTGCCGCTTTGAATGTAAATGTTTGTTTCATATAATATGTCCGTGGCCTGAAGTGAATAAGATCATTATTCGCTGAAGAGCGAAGATTATATCTATCATTATTAGAAAAAACTAGAAGTTCAGATATATATTTTGTTGCCAGATTATGTTCACTTTTAAAAACCAGTAAGGCCATGATTGTGGTTTCAAAAGTAAGCAGATTTTGGGTTTTGAATACACTTTTTGTTACATGTTGTTTCAGAATTACTCGAAGTGCCCTCTTTTGTATGTTGTATATTTTTCGGTATCCGGTTTGCAGTTTTGTCCCCATATAGTATTGCAATAGTCCATTGTTGACACAATATATGCATTATAGTATAACATTTTCATATCATCTTTCAAAAAATATGAAATTCTTTTTAAAAATGCAATTTTAGAATTGAGTTTATTTATTACATTATGAAGTTGAGTATTGTTTGGTTTTATTAACCTGTCAATTACATACTGATTACACGGTCGATGCACACAGTATATTAATCTTCGGTAGATGTTCGGTAAGTTCCGTGAGATGTACGTTGTACAATGGAATTTAATATAATTTGTATCTCTAAACTAAGTGTACTCAGCTTTATAGCGCAATAGGGTAAATCACGAGTTTATAATGTAAGTGCCACACGTGTTTTAAGTTCGAGGCGGCGTTGGTCCATTTTTTTCTTATTAATACTTTCAACATTATTGAATCTATATCTGATTATTTTATGTTGTTTGTTTTGTTTGATTATGTTATACTTAATTTTGTTATGTATACTAGTATACTCTTTTTAAATAACATGTTTTTTTTAAGAATTCATGTTTAAAATTAAAACGGATTAAAATCAATAAATGTCTTTTCAATGCCGTACAACACACTACAAATCTGTTCCATTAAAATATACTGCAAAAATAAAGAAAGAGTACTAAAATAATGGCAACAGTAAGGATCGAACCACAGACCTCTCAATTATCAAACAATCTCTTTACCGACTGACCTATTGTGAATTAACGAAAATTTTCACATTAAGCTGGCGTGACTTTCAATTCATTACTAATATACTCCACATTAATTCTCGTAAACTACACGGACCAAACCGAAGTGGGATCGAATATTTAAATGAGTCCTATAATGTATTCATAATTGACAGGTCAATAAAATCAGACTATATGCCATGTTTAATTACTATCAACACAAATCCCGAAAATATTTTTTCTAATATAGTGTCATTTATAGCAAGTTCGAGGTTTCTAGCCCGCTTAGTTTTGAATTTTGAACCAAATAGCATACACTTAGTTTTTTCTGGGTGCAAAGACATATTATTATTAAACCATTTGTTGAACAAGTTAATACTTTTTTGGAGTTCTTTATCAATAACGAGAATATCAGTATCGGATTTGTATAAAGTGGAGTCACAGGCGTACATGTCAATGTTAATAGAATTGAAATTAATGTCATGTCATTAATATAAATAATATAATAAAAAGCAAGGGTCCTAGTATTGAGCCTTGTGGAACTCCAGATTTTATAATCATCTTCTTTGAAAGCAAATTGCTACTTTTTACCAGCTTTGTTCTATTCGATAGACCTGGAATTGGACGCGCCAGATAACAGATGGGCCTTATGATTTACTGATTTATAATTTCTTTATATTGACAGTTATCTATTATTTTTGTACTTTTTGAGGGGCATAAGGCGAAAAAAATACGAAATGGTCATATTGTCGTATTTTCGTGTCTTCGTCTGGCGCCTCGAGGAGCGAAAGTACGTCCGAATGGTCAAAAGACAAGTTGATAACTTTGTCGCATTTTCATGTTTTCGCCACGCGCCCCGCGGAGCGAAAGTACGACAAAGAGGTCATTTTTTCGTATTTTCATGATTTCGCCTGGCGCCCCGCTGAGCAAAAAATACGACATGGCACAAATCAGGTATCATAGTTATCTACGGTGGCTGATTTGTGCCATTCGTGTTTTCGCCCCGCGACCCCGCTAAGCGAAATATCGAGGATTAGCAAGTTAAAATGGCGGTGGCGCGGAGCGAAAACCCGCTTATTAGCGAGGGCGCGGGCGAAGTTTAATAAATAAAACTTCGTATTGCGTGGGCGCGGAGCGAGATTTAAGAAATAAAACGGCAGGGTCACGGGACGAAAACACGCTTATTACCGCGGGCGCGGGGCAAAGTTTAATAAATAAATCTTCGCCGCGCGCTCCCGCTTATTAGCGTGTTTTCGTTCCGCGACCCCGCCAAGCGAAATATCGAGGATTAGCAATTTAAATGGCAGGGGCGTGGAGCGAAAACACGCTAAATAGCGCGGGCGCGGGGCCAAGTTTATTAAATATAATTTCATCCCGCGGGAGCGCGGAGCGAGATTTAAGAAATAAAACGGCGGGGTCGGGGGACGAAAACACGCTCATTAGCGGGGGCGCGGGCCGAAGTATAATAAATAAAACTTCGCCCCGCACTCTCGCTTATTAGCGTTTTTTCGTCCCGCGACCCCGCCGTTTTAACTTGTTAATTCTCGACTTTTCGCTAGGCGGGGTCGCGAGGCGAAAACACGAATGGCACAAATCAGCCACCATAGTTATCCCCATGGCTTAGCTTTAGGTTTTTTTCTAGATGTTTAAATCAAACTCTTACAACTACGGAAGAGCATTAGTGCCAGGTGTATGTTTTTAATTAACTCGAAATTTCGAGTTACTAACTCGAAATTTCGAGTTACTAACTCGAAATTTCGACTTACTTATCTCGAAATTTCGAGTTAGTAACTCGAAATTTCGACTTACTAACTCGAAATTTCGAGTTACTTATCTCGAAATTTCGAGTTAGTAACTCGAAATTTCGACTTAGTTACTCGAAATTTCGACTTAGTAACTCGAAATTTCGACTTACTAACTCGAAATTTCGAGTTACTTATCTCGAAATTTCGACTTAGTAACTCGAAATTTCGACTTATTAACATTACAAGAATGGCCAAAGTTATTAGTTAGATGGTATAAGATATAGTAGGCAGTGCCTTTGAACGATGGAGATGGAGAAACGGGTGCCTGGACAAAAACTATTGAACTTTAACTTAAACTTAGTAATGGCATGTACACACCCGACCTAAAAAATACAAGGCTTCCTTTAATTTGTACGTTCAGGCGTTCTTCAGACGTTGTATTGTATCCCATCTGTTCGAACATATCTTTTCACTAATCATATTCTTCTCATCCCTGTAAAAAAACCGATCCTATACTTCACGTGTGGGACATCTGAGGAAAGTATCGCGGCGTGGCCAAAATAGGGCGTGCTGAGGCCTTTGTCAAAATTGTTGGACTGACTATATTTCTTGTAAAATCGGATGCTTTTATATTATTCCCAACATATATATAACAACAAGTATCACTTTTATCAACTTTTATCAACACAATATGAATCAAAGTATTAGTAAATAATGAATAATGTTACAAAAACATTATTAGTATAAAGAAACGTGACAGACTAACTGGCGTATATACGCCATTTAAAACTTATTTAACACATGATATTGCACAGTTTACAATAGGGTGGGTTTTGGACTTGTTGTTTCTCCACATGATGGTTGTATGTGTGCTTAAGAAAAAGAAACACCCGGTTAACACGGAAATGTGGAAAGTGTGATTTTACAACCCCCCCCCCCCCCTCCACAAAAAAGCGAAGAATATGTTCAGTATGTTTGGACAATTTGATCCTATAAAATTGATCTGTTAAATAAATGTAAAAGGTTGTTAATGTGCAACAGCTACACACGAAAGAAAGTATCTTGAATTCATTCCTTGCTTTCACCGGCAACCAATAAAAGTCGTGCAATGTAAGTCGAAATTTCGAGTTAGTAAGTCGAAATTTCGAGTTACTAACTCGAAATTTCGAGATAAGTAAGTCGAAATTTCGAGTTAGTAAGTCGAAATTTCGAGTTAGTAAGTCGAAATTTCGAGTTAGTAACTCGAAATTTCGAGATAAGTAAGTCGAAATTTCGAGTTAATAAGTCGAAATTTCGAGTTAGTAACTCGAAATTTCGAGATAAGTAAGTCGAAATTTCGAGTTAGTAACTCGAAATTTCGAGTTAATAAAAAACATACACCTGGCACTAATGCTCTTCCGTATACAACAGACTTTTTCAATTTTATTAAATGTAAAATGAGATGCATGTATCTGACATTTATAAAATGTCAGGTCAGGCGACTACACTTGTTTTGCACATTTTGCACGTGAAGATTGCATTTCAGCATTGCAAAAATGTGTACAACGGTTAACAGGACTGGCTAATGCATTGTTTATGCAATGTTTAACAATTCTATTTATCTTTCGTGTATAAGTATTGTATTCTAATTAAGTATTGTTAAATCGTGGTACACAATAACACAGCATATATTTTGTGTAGGCAACCTTCCAAAAATGCAAATTACCATAGCGATGTTCAGGTCTATTCACCGACTGTTTTTAAATTGATGGTTCAGCCATTTGTACTGGTAAATTTACAGACATTAAAGGCACATTATACCTCAGAAACCGTCCTTTGGAAAGGGCTCAGAAACACTCCTTTGGAAAGGACAAATATGAATTTTATAATGTTTAAATAAGATTTAAGAGCATTTTAGATGCCCAGTCATAAAAGTATCAAAATGTAAACAAGGTAGTCTTTTGACTTTCATACAATTTATAAATCATTATAAGATAGTTCTGAGTAACATATTAAAGATTATAAAATTACACCAAAAATAAAAACATGTACAAATAAAACTAAAGCATTTGTTGTGCATAATGGGCCTTTAAAAAAAGGGTAGAAAAATGTAGTTTTTTGTATTTGCTGCAAAAATAGCATTTGCAACAGATTGTACTTGGTCTTTAAAAATTGAGCACATTCAAGGTAAATTTTCTTATTGTTATCATTTTTATTTTTGTTTATACATAGACCTGGAATAGTTATCATTTTACATTGTAAGCTTTGTTGTTATGTGAATTTTGGCCTACTTTCACTTTGGACCAACTTAGTGAAAACAAACATGGCTGACAAAGCTGAATCACCTTAATCAATTTAGTTTGATCTTAGAAAACGGAAGGCATTCCAGGGTTGGGCCCTATCAGCTAGACCTACGGTACAAACCTTGAAGCCTTCTTTTTATAAAACCATAGCTACGCGTCTGCTTTGTGTACAAGCCAAACGAAAATAAAACTAAACGCATTCAATATAATGTCCTTTTTTTAAAAGGATGTTGGTAAAAATCTACGCTTTACTTCAAGCTTTAAGCTTTTGCATGCTTAACTGCACAATGCATTGTAGTAAACAGGTGAAATGATGAATTATAAAAGAAATAAATCTACCCACCTCAATATCAGGTACGTCCTTGCTTAACATCGACGTCATTTTGAATGTTAAAGCACTCCGTTGCTTTCCTTTAATATCCGTCTGTGCATGTGCCAAGCTCTCTCCGGTTTATTTGTACTGATAAAGTGTGTGTATTTATGATTTGTCACGAGCCAGATAACACTGAGTAGCGATGTTTACATGTATATAAAACGGTTCAATGGCCTTGGTGGTCTGGCGAGCTTGCATAACTTCATTATTTTCAATTTTATCTTCGAAATAAATTTAGATTTTGAAATGTCCAATATTTTCCTTAATATATTAGATTTCTTTTTGGCTCTATTGAGACTGATTTAAAGCTACTCACTGTGCATTTTCTGTAGTTTCGTAATTGTTTTAGACAAAGCTTGGTCTATATCTGTCCATTCGCTGATACTCTTTTATTTTATTTTTTTCACTTTCTTTGCATATCGGAAGCTACGTCCCTGTGTAAAAATGATGCCTTGTGTGATGCGAGAGTAATTTAAATGCATGTGTATTTATATGAATAAAACAAAGTCATGAAAACAGAGTAACACATTTCCTAGCATAACAAATGGCAGTTTTTTTTGTCTATGGCTGTATATAATTAAATGTCCCAGATAATTGAAAAAACATGTAGTATAAGATTGACAATTACATGTATATAAATTATGATATTATATGACTTAAGCCCATATGGCTGATTTAAATTTACTCCGAACAGTCGGAAGTGACATAAATTGCTCCGGATATCGGAAGCTTAATATATTTATTCAGATATATTGAATTAAAATTATATTTTGAAAAAGAGACAACGTGCTGACAAATGCCAAGACACGAGTAAATCAAGATGTACAAGTGTCCCACCATAAAGGAAATTATGAAAGCGGAAAGGCAAGTTGGCTTGGAAAATAGTGTATAATATAATAATGTATCTTAAATGACTTAAATATTTTTTTCTCTAAGACTTACGTTAATGTAAATTCTACTACAATGCAGGACATTTAGCAGCAAGGATGAGAGAAAAACAATGTAAAATTTGTAAGTTTTTGATGGAACACAATTTTAAAGAAGACATCTGACTTGTAAAGGGACATGAATAGTATAAAATATTCATACCAGGGTTGTCTCCCTTCTAATAAACTGCATTAATGAAATACGATATTTCGTGTAATGCTTATTATATAAGTTAAACACAGTCTGTTTAATCGGAAATATACAAACATCAGTATTTCAAAGTACTAAGGTACTTAAGTATTGAGCCGATATGATTTAAACATATACAACACCATACCATATACAGCCTTTTATTATATATCTTATATATCTTATATTATATATTTACGAAAATGTGTCTGTAATAGCAAATAATAGTTGTGAATAAATATATATAATACATGCTTTGTTACCTATTGTTTACTTATTTATAAAATATTAAACTACTTGAATAAACAAAAGATTTCATATTCGCCTAGAATCTAGGTATTGAACCACAAAGTGTTATAAAAATCAAGGTGAAAGAGAACAATCGTCGGTCACAGAATCCTTCAAAATAACCTATTGCAAATATTTGTGATACGTTTTTTAAAAAAACGTACTTTTTCACTCAGTTAATCTGTTTTGTAACTTAAATGTTAATTATTTAAATGAATAACATGCCGCACACGTTTTGCCTGTTTTGCAAAAAATATTTCCGCTGTGTCCAATGTCCGTTGCATATTTTAGTGATACCTCTTGTTCCCTGCCCGTCATTAGATTATTGACGGGTCTGAATGGGTTTTAGAACGATAGAAAATATATATGCCAGAAATAAAATGAATGATTTATCTGCATATAATTAAAAAAAAAATAAACAAAAAAAAATATCCGGGGATTCGATTACAATTCAGTTGTACTAACCACTAGACCATCGGGGTCGTAAATATTGATTTAAGTATCAAGGACTATACTTTCAATAAAATCCAATGTGTAAATCGCAACTCATAACGGAAACTAACGAAAAACGTTTCGAAAATTAATCAGTCTCAGGTCAATATTGCCATATATAAAGGTAGGCAACGAATACTGATTTATGCATTACCAAGCATGTATTACTCCTCTTTAACATGTCAAACTGGCATATTATCAGGGCTCAGTTATTTGCATAGTCATGTTTATGCATGAGCATTCGGTAGGTTTCATATAATCATAATTATGCACGTTTTCTATAATAGAACCGGTGCTTTCCGTCTCCAGTTGGATTAATATACTTCGTGTCACCGAAACTTCGACTTTATTAAATAAGTATCGTTAGTTTCATGGGGCAATTGATGTGTCATTAAAAAGGAGATAAAAGTGTCAAAGGTAAGATCTTTGTCGGAAGCATAATTTATTTTTAAAAAAATCGGTGATATAATTTGTAATGTTATTAATCAAGACTATATTGTCTTAGCAAAAAACTTCTTTTTTTAAAGATAATGCGAACTCAAATATTTGCAAATTTATCACATTGCAGTGCTGAAACGTTCAAGTCAGTTGGGTTGGCATTAAAAATTCGTTTTTTTCTCTTTCATAAACTAAGATAAAAACTTATCCAACACTTTTGCACAAAGCTCAATTACAAACAAACACAATTCAGAATAGAAATTATTTTCGTATTGAAAAAATGTCCAAACAAGAAAATGGGGAACAAAAATTTTATATTTGCCTTTTATTTTTGTATTCAAATATCGCTCAGTTTGTATAAATGTTTGGTTAGAAAACACAAAAATTAACAAAGACAATTAACAAAAAATATCGAATTAATGAGAAAGTCAAACAAATGCAATGATAAATAAGGCGGCAAACATTGAATAGAATTAGGTTAAATAAATGAAGATTAATTTAATCGAGAAAAAATATCATTCATTATTCCATCTTTCTCGTTTGTCACAACGTGCGTCATTATTCAATTACTAGTACATACCAATATAATACATGTATTATACCGACTATATAACTTCCACAATGTCATTCCATTCCCCTAGTTGCTTTCTTCTAATCTCATTACTTATTTTTAATTTTTGTGCGATATCACTTCGTACGCTTGACCTACTACTTACACTGATTCCATCAAGGTACATGTCCATCTCGGCAATTGCCGCCAAAACTGATTCCGGTCCGTCTGTAACTGACATATCAGACGACTCCGAGAGAGCGAAAGACGTGTTTGCTTCGTGATCAATACTTTCGCTACTGCGATTTGATAACTGCGCACTGTATTCCGAACAAGTGTCTGAAATAAGCTGAGCTTTATCTCCAAACGAATCACTAAAATCTAAATTTAAATGATTTAAAGTACGAGTAGCTTTTACTGATTGGTTATTATTTTGCGGCGTACTCGCGTTTGACGTTTTCTCATTCCGTCTTGGACTGAGTTGCTCCCAGCTTTGGGAATGTTCATCAATTTCTGTTATTTGTTTATTGGGATTGACTTTTGTCCTTACCGGAAGAGAACTTGAGCGTTCCAAACAAAACTGTCGCCATGAATTTTCTGTATGATTTTCTCTCGCATTTCGAGTAATTTCCTCTAAGGAGAGCCGCAAGTCATTGCAACTCGACACCATTTCATCTGCAACCTTGCAGGTTAGAATACTGCTTGTAGAAGACGTTCTACTTGGTTCATCGAACTGAATCAGATCTTCCGATAAAGATCGTACCTTTGAGGCGTTTATTTGGTTAATCATGTTACCATGCAAGTTGTTTGTATTATTTCGAGGTATGTCTCTGCTTCTTATAACCCTGAATTTGTTCTCCTTCCAATTGTGCCAACTTCCGTCAACACTTTCATCACTGCTGAATGACCTGTCAACACTGCTATGACTACTTGTTATGTCTTGGTTTATGTAAACATCTCCAGTAAATGTGTATGATGCATTAACAGGCTTGAGAACGCCATTGCTATCCGTACTTAAAATGCTGGTTGCACTAGAATGAATACTAGGAAAATGATCACTTAAGTCAACTTGACTTCTGCAACTGTCTATTGTTGAAGATGAAGAGTGAATTTTCGAGCAGGAAGACACTGTTACAGTGCTCGGTATTGATCTAATATCGTCAGAGAATGGACTTGGTGGTCGTATTATTGCGGTAGAGGTGCTCGGATCACTTCCTTCATTTATCGACGTGTTCATTGAAAAATCTGTCACTTCGTCTACTACAACATCATATGGTGCAATATCAGAGTTCATGTAAATATGAGCTATATTACGGTTTGGAATATCATTTAATATTTCATTCGAATTACTGTCCGAAAACCGTCTTTGTGTCCATGTTTCTACCAAGCTATTTGAGGATTGCCCTTCTTGGCTTTCCGTATCAAAATACGAACCGCCTAACAAACTGTTTAGTTTCACAGCTTGTTCATTGTCTATGCTTCCAATACTTTCACTGTCTTGTTCAGGTTTATCAGCAAGTTTAGACTTAGATTGACGTACTTTATCAGGGTCCCAATTTATACTAAATTCTGAATTAGCGTCAACCTCTCCAAGTTCACTCCCACGCCCAACAGAAGTTGATGTTCTTTGTGAGTTAGGTACAGAAAGTTGGCTTTCATCCTCATCTGGAACATATGATGGATTAGATTGTGCAAGTTTATCGTCTGTTTCATTGTTTTCTTCTACTTCTGGGACCTTGAATGTAACGGCGAGTTTCATATCAGTAACATAGTTTTGTGACACGCTATTACACATGTCAATCGCTTCCGTATATTCTGCACATGATTGCAACATTGGGGTATTCAAAGAGATTTCAAATTTAATAGGTGAGTGAGTTTGAATTTCAAGAGGCAGAGCATCGTCTTCAGAATCTAGAGTTGATCCCATGACAGTTTCTTCCTCTGTCACGCGCGTAAGTTTCAGGCAAGGTGAATAGAATTTCGAGATTGGTGGTGGATCTCCGAGAATATGTCTGACATATATTGGCATTTCGACCATCTCGTCTAAAACATCGGAGATTTGCACTACACAGTTGTCATTCTTGTTAAAATTCCCGTCCGACACTTCGTAAAATAATCCAGTCTGCGACACTGGTACAAACAGTTCACAGTCTCTCTCGTCTATACATAGCAGGTATCGATTGTCCCTATCTAAAGACCTTTGCGCTTCAGGGAGCATTAACTGATTTAGCTTCTGAATGCCGATTTTTCGTAATACCTCGCCTTCAACGACAGGACGCAAAAAGCTTCCGTGACTCTCATTTTCACCTTCGGGCGATTCCGTAACAACAATTGCCTCAAATTCTGTCGTACAGAGGAAAAAATCAGTATTTGCTCTTGTGATAGATTCAACAGTTCGGTGAGATGAAGGTTTGCTAAATTCGAGACCTTTACTGATTTTGAACCACCCTGGAAATAGAAAAAATACAAATAAATACAAATCAGAAATAATTTGACCATAGGAAATTATATATACATACATTTATATGCATGTTTTTAGAGGCAGAATTGTGTATTTACATTCACGGTCTGACATATGACAAACATTTTCTCAGATCGATGTGTAAACACTTTTATCAACAGCCTATTTTAATTATGTAAAAGGGCATTGAAACCTTGTGCAACAGAATATTTACTTGCTAAAATGCAGACGAAAAAGTGAAAATATGTGATACAAAATTATGTATGTGATAAATAAACAAAGTTATAGTAATCACTATTGGTTTTTAGTGCAAAGGCCGAGAAACAATATACATTTTATATTGCCCTAAATCACAGGTTATTGGATATTATTCTTATTTTATTACTGAAGTCTTTGTTGTTTGTTTGAGCTTTATTAAATATAAATGTGTGCATGTTATTGTACCAACTGCGTTTAAATTTCATCACTACATGTACCATGGAACCTCTATGACAAACATAAGTGCTCTTAACATAAAGAACTATTACATAACTTGTAATCTTTTTTATAGCTTCATATTTGCTATTGTACTTTAATTGCAACTGAACTAGCCCGTGCTCAGAATCTTGAAAGCGCTTATAAATAGGCAAAAGGCATGCATACATGTTACAGTTTCTTTTTATTAGTTGTATAAAACGGTTGGATTCGCTTCGCTTTCAACAATATCAAGTTAACTCGTCTGACTGATAAAGATATGTGTTTTTACTATTTGGATCAAAGTGATACAAAATATAATCACTGTTATTGATATTTCACCTTTTTGTTCTTTGTAATGTTAACATTTGTTATGCACATAAATTTGATGACATATTTGTGGCGTATTTGGTATGAAGTAAAACTTTGCCGGCATCTCTACACATATTTTCATTTGACTGAATATACAGATATCTAAGTACTTAAGTGGTTCTACTGAGGTGCCCGTTCGTGCCTAAGATAATGCACGGAGGGATACCCGAGGTTTTCTTCCACTAGTGATGTTGGGAAGAAACCATCTGACCATTACAGTGTTGGTGCCTCGTACATAATGATAATTACTTTTATCAAAGTCTGACTGAAAGCTGATGTGTAACACAGTCAGTTAAAAGAGGTCTACAGGCCTTTATCCATGTCAAGGATATGCACTTCTTAAAACCATAATGAAAGGGTCGATATTTTACCCGCGTAATCTTCAGGAATGACAACTTCCGGTAAAAGTTCTTTTATTGTTCCGCCTTCCCCCTTGCGCACGCATCTCGCAAACACCTTCCGGCTTGTTCGTTTACTGTGTAAAAGCACTGGTTGACGAAGATCAAAGAAAAAGTTCTGAAAGGAAAATAAAACGGTTCATTTATACACAGTGTATGTGAAGATTTACGTTATCAAAAATAAACAGGAAGTTGTTGCTCAAAGGGAAGATTTCGCAGTTTTAATGTTGTCTTTTCGGGAATAGAAGTTATTTTGTGTTTAGAATAAACTATGAATTGTTGTTTGAAATAGAGAAATAAGAAGAAGGCTACATAACATTAATACAACCCACTTATAACCCTCTTCCCAATATACAAAACATTGTTCTAAAACATAAACGGTTTAATCGTGATTGTGTGATCGAAAATTGGATTTTAAACAAATATAAATAATATAGGAGTAGGCAAAGCTTTTGAACTGGAAATCAGATAAAAATAACCTAAACAAGAGCTGTCAAATGAGACAGAGAAGCTCGACTTATTAAATAATGAACACTGTAAAGGAAGACAAAACTATGAAGAAAAACAATCAATTATGATATAAATATATTTTTGTATCAGTATCAAGAAAGCGCTCAAATGTTCGATATTTTTGCGCAATACAATATGCAAGTGACCATGTCAATAAAAGTTAAACAGACATTTCTACGCTCTGAATTATGGAAAAGACAACAATTTGAAATCTGAAGTCAATCCCTTCAGTAACAAAAAAGATAAGAGCAAAAAGCATATAAAGTTTTTAAAGTAAAATTGTAAGGTCAAAGAGGAAATAACTCTTGAAATAAGGATTCTAGAGTTATGAACCTTGTCATGCATGATGTAAGTAATGACAAAGAACAATTATCTTTATTTATAATAACACTTTTCAAATAAAATCTTAAGTTCAAAAATTAAAGGGAGATAATTCTGGAAATACAGGAGCTATTGTAATAAATATTATCACATATGACAAAGGTTTTGATAACAAACATATGTTTGAAGACTGAATTAAATACTTGAAGAAATAAAGCAGTTGCAGAAAAAAAGGGAATATTATAAGTTTAACGGTGAGATTTTATAAAAGAATTCCAAATTCAAAGTGGAAATAATTCTGAAAATATTCATGCTAGACTTACGAATCTTATTACAAAGGATGTGGGTGATAATTAGTAGCAAATATTTGAAGTTTGAAGAACATACCTTAAGAAATAAAGATGTTACAATATAAAATAATATTTTTAACATGAATTCTAAGTTCAAAGGGGGATAATTTTGAAAAAAAACAATGTGTGCCAGAGATATGAATCTTGTCACACATCACGTGGGTAATGATAAGGAACACATATTTGAAGTTTGAAGTAGATACCTTAAGAAATAAAGAAGTTATATTAAAAAATAACTTTTTTTAAAATCTCAGTTCATCGGGAGATAACTCTTGAAATGTTGATGCTAGAGTTAAAAATCTTGTTGATCCCTTAAGAAATATAAAGGAGTAAGAGAAAACATAAATTTAAAGAAAGTTCAGTGTGAGATAATTCTGAATATATTGTTTCGAGTTATGAACATTGTCAAATAAGATGAGGTTGATAATAAGGGACATATAAAGTTTGAAGTTGATACCTTAAGATATAATAAAGTTATAGTAAAACTATTTTACTGCTCTGAAATCTGGACGCGGACGCCGGGGTGAGTAGGGCAGCTCTCCATATACTCCGTATAGTCGAGCTTTAAAGGAACACCTGGGTCGTTATACCGTTTATTGTTAATAAGTTTTCCACAAAACATATGTATATGGTACGGATACGGTATTTCAGTCTAATCTACGCTTAAAATGAACATGATAACAAAAAATAATTAATTGCTGGGAGGTTGACTAAGTTTATTCCAATATATCGAGTAAACGTCCACCTAAATAAAGTAAATTTAAAGATATTAAATTAAACAGTATATTATTTATATACTTATCATTATAGTTGTACAAAATGTTAACAGATGGCGTTTGTTAATTGAACGTGATTGTCAGACATATATTTATTCATATTTTACCGAAATACACATTATTTTCCTTTGGAAGTCAACTATTTGTGTACATTCGTTAAACATTAAACGCCTTCTCTTCTTGTTTTCATCTAACTTCTTTCAATGCGTCCAAGATTATTATAAATAATAGTCGAGGTGCTCCGATTTTGATTATTTCTTAGGCGAATTCCGTTTTTTTTTATTATTTTGAAAAACCTAGCCGATTATCTGAGGCCGGGCAAGCCAAAGCCCGGGTCCGAGAAATTAGACTTCCCCATATTACATAATATCAAATGTAGGATACTATTTAAATATGATCTGTTTTAGCGCATGTGAACATTCGGATTTTAGAGACTGTCAAAACTTATATTAGCTATAAATAAGAAAAGAACAGATATTTTCATTTTTATCTATTATAACTGCCAACATATATCTATATTTGAAAGGAACTATTTTTCTTTTAAAACAGATTCATGTGACGACAATGTATTACCTGTAAATGTTCAGCACTCGTGTCTTCGCTGCATTGTACCACAACAGGTAGTTTGAAATTTTTCATAACTTGTTTCAACGTATAATTCTGAGAACTCCATTTGTAATCGCTAGAAACCTCCGCTTGAGGTCGCTCCCTCTTCTTCCACTGTTTTCCCATCACGTGATGTTGGATTCTAAAATAAGAATTTTGAATTTAGCTTAAAGTTAAAAAAGTTTCTCATGATATCAAAGTGGCTTTTTGCCATTTATTTGTATTGTTAACTCCCTAAGATTTAACTCCCTAAGACGTTGAGACATTTCTTTAGTATTGATAGTATCACGTTTTTATTTGTTTTGGGTCGTCAGACCAAACAAATAATGGTAGCGAAATTTCAGACCCTGATGTTCTATTTGCAAATAACGAAGGTAGTCCAAACTCCTCGAAGCGGTTACTTCCCTTCATATGTAGATTAACGCAGAAAAATTAAGGGGAGATCACTGCGTAAAGATTGTCAAATGACAGGCGCATTAATTTTCGTAATGAAAAAATAGTTCCCGATTGGTCGAAGATTTCTAATATTGTGTTATTATTATAGCTTATATTCAGCTCCATGATTATTTACTTCAGTGTTAAATAACAGGTTTACCGTGAACAAAATATATCGAAATTAATAAGGGTTACAAACTCTATCTCAGACCTATATGGTATTCTTTAGGCTGTTATCATATAACTCCCCGTGGTCGAGGGGTTAACGCGTTCGCTTTTGAAGCGAGAGGTCCGAAGTTCAAATCCCAGGTGAGACAACTCATGTTTTTTTTTTTTGTTTTTTTTTTTTAAGCCAAATAAACATTGAACTGAATATCATTGTTGCAATTAGTCTTATAGCCAATTTACTATAGTTATAACATTGGAAACAGAATTTGATGACACTCTACAAACAAATTGGTTTATAATCTCACAACCTTCACCTTTCTGACATTCTGAGACCCAAACAAATTCAGTGCCTTCTGTGCTTTGATTTATGTCATGTTTTGAATTTTCTTTGTGAGCGTTTTTTTTTGTGACAACAGCACGTGATATCACATGACTAATATGTAAAGAATAATATATTTAAACATCATCTGAAGCTATCAGATTTTATTCCTGTGTCCAAGTCTTTGAAATATGCTGTTTTTTTTTCTCTTATAGGTGTCCATGGCCGAGTGGTTAATGTCGTTTACTTCAAACCACTTGCCCCTTGTCGCTCTCTACTGCTGGTTTGAATCCCGTCAGAAACTTTGTATTATTTCGTGTGAGGAAACTATTAAGCTATCTTACGCACGAGCTGACACCTAAGTTCTTCCTCCACCCAATGACAGAAATATCAAGTAGATTCCGAGGATGGACGGACACTATATTACTGCGTCTCAATGGTCGAAACATATCACATGTTTTAATAAAAGTAAGCCTAAAAAGACAGATTTTGTCTGACCATTTACATCTAAATGAATTGAATCTTGCACTGGTCAATTATACACGGACATTTGTCTTATTTTCATCGTCGAGTAAATTCAATGGATCCTGGCCATGTAAAGTAGTCTGAGCAGCTGTTTAAAGTATACCGGTCCATAAATGTAATACCATAAAATATTTAAAGTATTAAGCATCATATAGACAAAAGATACGAAAGCATTTCACATGGCATTGTGTACACCGGTCTTACTGATGATATTTGAGACCGGTGTGTATACAATGTTTCACATGGCTGTTGTTAGAAAATGCGGGATACATGATCCGATATTACATATTGATATGTAGCAAGATAATAAAGTGTCCTAGAACAAAATATTATTATTCAACATATAAACGTTCAAAGTAAATCACTAAGAACTAGAACTTTTTTTCAAGAAATATTTTGTTAGAACATCCAAGTTATAATTTTTTATTGTTTTATCAAATATTTGAAATACTTATTGAAAATGTGTCCATTGTAGACCAATTCACTTTTTTCAGTGCGTTAAATTTATGTTCAATGTCATCATACTGTCAAATTCTCTATGACTGTAAGTTGTACTTTTAATTTCAGTATGTATAAGAAGTTATATGTCAAACGATATTTAATTAGCAAACGTACTCGTACATGTATATCAAGTATCGAAATTAAAATAATTTAATCAATATTACATTATTGAGCGAAATAAACAAAATCAAAATTTTTTTTTACGATACAATGTATTTTCATTATCAGCCATTGTGGTGTATTTGAAAGTTCTATAATTTTTCTTACCTTATTTGCTATGCGTTTAGATATTTTTAAGATTGATTCCGGTATAAATATCCATTAATTTTATAAAGCGCATAAGTGTGTTGTTATTCAATTTACAATACGATAAATAATGTTAAAATAACTTGTGTGAAGTTTTATAAACTACACAATTTCTATGCATCAGTGATCGTCGATTTTGTTATAAGAATTTTAGTGAATATACCATTTTTTATGAAAAGGTACATGTCTGTCAAATACGAAATACAGTAATAATTCATTTTTTTGTTAAAGTTTTGCGCATTTTAAACGTTTTGTGTTAAATCAAAAATAATTTCAGGTGTGCAACAAATTTAAGTTAAACACAAAATGCATAATATTGAATTATACGGTTACAACACTCCAAAATGTTATTCGAATTCAGTGTATTCAAATTGTGCATGTAATAACGCCTGGTTGATAAATCGATGGTATAAAATTAGCTTGTTAATAAGCTTATATCTGGAAAAAAAAACATTATGCTGCCAAATTAAAATCTATGTTCAATGCCATCTTACTGTCAAATTGTAGTAAATAAAATAATAAAATTGTGAATGCAATCCTTGCAAGGTTGATGGTATTAATCATATCTTTTTTAAAGCAAGTGTTATTAAACCCCACTTAGAAGCTCCGGTGTCACACGATCAATTGATTTGAAATTAAGCTATCAATGCATCTATCAATTTGGCATTCGTTTAAGACCACAATCTTAAATTTAAGCGAATATTTTTTTTGATTTAAAGTTTGCATGTCTAATAAATGATTGTATAGCTATTCTTTGAATTTATCACGACCATAAATAATTGAAGAGTTTTGTTGGAATGTATGGTGTTTTGTAACAAAGCTATCGTGTTTTAAGGTGTCGTGCTGCTAAAAATCACGAAAACACGACAAGCCTGTTTGTCGTGTCTTCAAGTCTTCAATATTTTGGCCTTTTGGTCTGAAAATCGCTCACGCCAAACGATATAAATCACATAAAACAAACGACTTCTATCGTAACTAAAGCGTTTAAAAAATATACACGATTGAAGGGAAAGAGATACATCGTGTGTCTTTTCATTTATTTTTTTTATTTTTTTTATTTTTGTAAAGCACGTGTTGTTGCGCGCATACGTGTAAACATGCTTTGCAGGTATTAAGAAAATGTAGCGTCATCAATAATGTCTTTGCTATTCAAATTGATTCAATTTTGATGCTTGAACAATATAAACATCCATGTATATCTAAATAGCGGATCACTGGTGTTTTGCCAAAATCAAAGATATACTGAAGTGACAAAAAATCATTGTTTTAAACAAACTTAAATTTATAGTAAGACTTCGTTTATATAATAAGATCATTGTATAATTTTATTTCTAAATGTATCGCCTTGTTTCATATATAGCGATCATTAAATGGTGAACACTATTAACATATAATAAACGATATTCATATTGTGCATATCATCAGATGGCAAGTAGTTTTTGTTTAAATCTTTCTCGCAAAATGCCTTTCTTTCATCTAAACGTAGGTTGATACTTAACTGAACAATATCCAAAATTCAAAAGTACAAATGTTTAATAAAAAAGAATTTTAATTCTAAAGAATTTATGAACATTGTATTATCATTATAATAAAATTATTTGTCTCCAACTTATTTTAAATAAATGAAATTTCTTTAATACTTTAATTATTTTGATGTGCATTTTGTTTATTTTATATTATGCATCAATCTTTAAAAATACGATGTAGCGTAAACTTGTAACGGCCCATTTTTATTTAAACGTGTATATAGTGTATTACGTCACAAACATGTATAGAAGTAGAAGAAATAGGAAGAGTTATTCATGCCGACACTTTAATGCACGTCTTCACTTATAATAAAACTGAACCGCCCTTATGTATGATGATACGCCTTAAAAACAAGCTTTTAGACACTAAGATGCTACATATTCAGGGTGTTCAGGCGCACATTGAATTATCAATGAACGACATTATAGGGCGAGTCATAAGTATTAAGTATATAACATAATAAGTAATAGAAAGAGCATCAAAACACGAGGCTATCTGATTTGTACGAGAGGGCGTAGTCCCTGAGTATTAATCAGATTGCCGAGAACTGTTTTCATGTTGAAATAAAGTTAACTTCCATGTTTCTCAACGATTAAGTAAGCTGACTTCGAATAACGAACCATTTTACCGCTGAGGGTTCGAATCCGTCTCGTGACTTGCGGTACTTCCATATAACAGTGTCGCTTTGCAAGCCTATACAATTCTGTGCGATTACAAGCAAGCAACTCTTTCTTCCGTTCACTCTACATTTTTAGGAGCATGTAAATTTTAATGTAGACTAAATTAACCACTGTCTAAATGTCTAAAACAATCAGTATTGTCAATGTGATATATTAAAGCACGATAGCTATGAAACTGCTTTTAATCAAATCTCAAAACAGACGATTAGATTGAACCAAAGTCTCAAACGAGGCTATAACTGGGACCAGAACTACTTTTAAATCGGAAAGTTTACACTTTTAGGTCTGGGCCAAAATAAACAGTTTTAAATATATGTCTGTTAAACAAAAGGTCATACAATATGAGTAGTAACTAACTGTATTAAATTCTAAGTCTCAAATATATAACATCAGCCTTTTAACCTTTCACCTAAAATGAAATGTAAGTATACTTACGCCTGTTTACTGTATTTTTTCACATGTTATAACGACTGGTTACAATTCGTTCCTTGCATTATTTCAATATTGCTGTATCATAGTTAACTTTCCCACATAAATTATTTAACACGTTTTATGTTTTTTGTTGAGAATGTATTAATTTCACAAACCACATCGCTATTTTTTTTTATCTAACTGGCGACTGACTTCTACACCGTAGTTGACTTAGTATTTTGAAATATTCACTACCTTCAAAATACTTAACTAATAATACCACTAGTTAAATCCACCGTGTCGTTTTATAATACTAAGTATTTGTATAAATATGTCCGATGAATTAAACGTTGTCTTATATATAAAAGAGGTTTTGTCAAACTTTAAATACAACGATACCGTAGCTTTAAATACCACCTGTTTAATGTTTACTTTTAAAGTAAAAAGTTGCCAGTGATTTGCGATGCCCTATGTTTAATGTACTTCAACAATTTATAAATACAAAAACCTATATGTCCATTAAGTAATAGAAAGAGCACCGAAACACGAGGTTATCTGATTTATACGAGGGGGCGTAGCCCCCCGAGTATTAATCAGATTACCGAGTGTGTTGGTGTTCTTTCTCTTTTGTATCATAGTCAAACATAAAAACACGTTCCCTGTTGTTACAATATGAAACCCCGGCAAAAATGAACCAATGAACGAGCATCTAAATATGACATTTCTGTCGATTTCACTTTCACTGCCGTCACAAAATGTAAACCCTAGCAAAAATGAGCCAATCAATGGGCATGCTCTGGAGTGCGGGTAACTAATACCCGCACTCCAGTTAACGCACTGCATGTATATGTATACGATTTAACCATGACACATTTTCAACAGAAAGGTCTCCAAACTATGATACAATGTATTTACATAACGCATTGTCCAACCATTCTATTGAGAGAAGTCTTTATATTTCAATGATATCTCCCTTACAATAGAATGACCAGACACAACAGCGCTTACTGAACATTATCAACACGCGATATCTTTAAAAGCTACCGAACTGGAAAATATATACACAATTATTAACCCGTCTATCCAAAATATTCCCATCGGTTTTATAAACCTGTTGGTTTGCGATTTTTTTTTCGTTGTATCGACTTGGAGTAAATAAACGGCCTCGCTTCACTTACGTTTTAAACACTTTATACGTATTTCCCCCATTTGAAGAAACATATACCTGTTGAAATATGTCATCCTTCATTAGTCAACAATGTATAGCTTAATTTTAAACAAACAGAGATATAAAAAGATTTTATTATCAAGTTACTTCTAGCTCTCGGGCGTGATATTTAAGTTTTAAATACAATATGTTTATCAATAAAGCATTCCTTATCCATGTTTTTCTACACTACTTTAGTAATCAAGAATTGATCGATCGCGAGTTATTTCTTCTTTTAACAAATATTTGTCATGCATCATTTTGAAATAGTTCGACATTAAACAAACAGTTATCAAAGTTCGGACATGACAAAGGAAGACAAAGTTATTTCGGAAAAAAATCCACTGCAGGAAATAATCAACGTACCCCACCGTGTATATTCAGTAACGCCGAACAGCCGCATACGGCTGCGAAGACATTATTCTTTATCCCTCTAGATTATTGTGAAAATGATGGCTTGACCCCCGTTTTGAGCGAGATGTTGGCTTTTTGTCGACTCTTATAAGTACAACAATGCATATTATACCGTATAATTTTGATTTTCGGTAGGCAATGACATTTATTAAACCTCTGGTTGAATATAAAATTGAAAATAACCTGATAAAATGTGATTTAAGCCGTTTTTATGAGGTAACACCGGTGAACGTGAATAGTGCTTCGCGGTAACGCCGGAAAATGCGTTTTTTCATATAATGACATATTAACTATCAGTCATACATGTAAGTTTAGATTTTCCACAGTTTAGCCTTTTCTACACACGAAGAAGAAAGAAATACAACGATACAGAAATATTTAAAATTACCAGTACATTCAAAATACCATGTCTGTGTTATTAATAAATTTTACAGTGACAATAGTTCGAAAATGTCCCCTGCCCCCTTAATATTTTAGGCCTCCGTACATAACTTAAGTATTTCAATTCTAAACATAGGTTACTCGACAGAAAACATGTGATATTAAATGGCTTAAGACAGGCGGTGCAAGGGTAGAAATGGCAAAATCTTATTAATTATTAATTGTTTATGTTGACGTACAGGAACGGCGACAAAAAGTTGATTTTTCAGGGACAAGTAAAAAGTATTGGAAATGAGAAATAGATCATTTCCGCATAGTAAGGTATTCTAGTTTTCTTTAGGCTGCTAGGCTGCAGGGCTGCCAACTTCACGAACATGGTATCTTTTTTTATTTTCAAAACTTTTCCTAAAAACACATTTGACGTAACGTTTCGAAATAGTTACAAGTAAATGAGATAGGATAATTATAGGCTCTGGTTGATACACATGTGTGTATTGTATACACATAAAAGTATGCGGATATTTAATAATCACACGGCATTCCGTTATTGTTGATTTTAAAGTTGGTGCACAAATACAATGTTAAAAAAAAGAAATTAAAAAGTTAGATAATTAATCATAAAATAAGGAATAAAAAAACAAAAATAAAACAAAAAACATCACAATAACAGCATGACAGGAAGTTGAGTTGGAACCTATTAGTTCAGTTAAAAAGAAAACTTGTGATTTACCATCTTGCCACTATGATAATACAAATAAATTGATTAGATACTGTTGTTTATGCCTCCGTTATCAGATGATAATGTAGATTCACTATTGATTGGATTTTCCAAAGTACCTGTGAATCCATGTTATTATCCTATGACAGTAAAATGGTTAATTTTATTTTATATGAAATTGTAATGTTTTTCAGAATTAATGGCATTTGGGACTTCAAACCTCTCGAAAGGTACGACCATAAGGATATGCATTGCAACTTATGTTTTTTTCTTTTTTTTTCTTAAGTTTTTTACCTTATGAGATATCGAGCATAGTTTTCAATGTTCGTTCATCCGTATCAAGATTACATCATGCACACATAGGAAGAAAATAAAAATGTATAATGTGATGAAAAATAGGGAAGATATTCAAAGATAAAAATCTTTGCACTTCATAAACATGTCGCGGTGTTACCCTATACTGGTATGTCACTAAAACGGTGATTAATTCGTGTGAACAGCTTGTAGATAAGAATTTGAAATAACTCACCGACAACCTAGAAGTGTATTACCAAAATATGACGGGTAGAGCCGAAAGAATGCAAACGATGCAGATCTGCACCAGGTTAAATGTGAAAGTATTGAAACAAGTCACCCTACTAAACAGTGGCTCTTTAACATTTTGATGATCTGTTTAGATGAGGGTCCTTGACACTTGCGTTGTAGTCCGATTTAAAAGAACAATGCTTGTTTTCCAAAAATCGAAGAATTCTGTGCCACGAAGAATATTTTTCTCATTATTAAGGATGCAATTTCGATACAAAATACCCAAAAAATGACTCTTCTAGCACTTTTTACAAAATATCAACTAGTGTGTTTTCTTTCACGAGGAGATACATCTTGCGTGAATTCTCTACCATAAAGTTAATGTTGACCCACATAGTCTTGGTTATAACATTGTGCCTACCTGACCTATGGTTCAACATAAAAAATAGTTCTTGGTTAAGAGCTTGTTTTAAAATGAGATACTCAGACTTATTCAAATGTGACTGGGCTAGCGATAATGTGCTTGCACCATCGACAATGTGAAAGAGCCCTAACAAATGTGATAGAGCCAATACAAACATTCAATTAGTGTCAATATTGTGGAATATTGGCGGTAAGTATTCATAAAGAGACCAAATTGCACGAGTTAAAAGAGACTTACTTTCGTGAAATGTTTAAGCGGGAGTTTAGCACGAAGTAAATTTCGCCAAATCACTGCAACGCTATTTATAAGTTACCGTCAAAACAATTAACATTGAATCAAAGAATGAATATTTGACGCACCACATCGCCGGAAACCAATAAAAGATTGTGCATACATGGTTCAAGTTTCAAAAAGAAAAACAATCTAGATCAAGACACTATTTTATGCAAATTTAGGAAAACCTTTCAAAGAACTTTGGATTTTTCATTGCAGTATATACTGAAGAAGCTATCTAAATCAATTTTGAGATTCTATTTGAGTGTATCCATCAATATAAATCGGATTAATACACTTGTTACTATATATAGTAACAAAATCGCCTATGATTTCAACTGATTATGAGTGTCACGTGACCTATTATGAATTTGCGGCCCGGGGCCGATAACTAGTTATCAGCCCGCTGAACATGTGCACGTGCACAAACTGAAACAATGACGTCACATTTTACGTCATCAAACAGTTTACGTAGGTTTTAAGATTTTATTATGAGAGCTGAAGCGTATTTCGTACATACACAGTTTTATTAGTATTGAAATTTAAAGAAATAATGCGACAAATGTATTCCGTAAAAAATGAAAATAAAACTTGCTTCTAGATTCTACAGTATTGTAGTGTACTTTGAACTTACAAAAAGTCAGCAACTCTGTAGAAGTTACTGTAGATCTACTGTACTGTGTACAGTAGAAATGCAAGAATTTCAACGAAAGAAATTTAAAAGTTTTTTTTTTAGAAAAATGCTACTATTAGATCTACCAAGTGTATTAAAGACATTAATACACGTCTTAGTTGTGCCAGAAGGTGATAATCGGCCCTGAAATGAATAATGCCCTCGGGATGAAGCCCTCGGGGCCATTATTCATTTTGCGGGCCGATTATCACCTTCCGGCCCTATTAATCTCTTAATAATTCCACAATATCGACACTTTTCACATACCCGTGCCGACTTAGCGACTCCGTAAAAATGGTATTGCACGACCATATATATACGCGACGTCATTTGCGTTATAGAAACATAGCGTACAGACGCGATAAATCTAATCGTTATACTAAAGCCGCGTCCATGTTGTTTTTTTTTTTTCATTAAAACAGTCTTTATTTTTTGTTATGTGATACAATGAATACTTTCTTTTTGTAGGCTCAATACTCAATTTATTGAACGAGTTGAATAAAATAATATTATGCTCGCGAGTTGCTCGTATAATATGTATTCATCCAACTCGTTCAATTAATTCAGTATTAAATCTACATTAATTCAATGTCCTTTATTCATTGAATATTTATTTATTGTGGCCCCGTCACATTTGCGAGGGCTGTTTTACATTGCCAATGGCGCCAGAACAGTGTCGATGGCTCGATCACATTTGAACAAATGTTAATATTTTATTTATAACCAAGCTCTGTGAAATATTTAGTGCTGAGCCAAAGGGAAGGTAACGATCAGATTTCATGCACGATAAATTGGACAGACATTTACTTTACGGTAAAGAAACCACTGAAAATGTGTCTCAAAGTACTAGAAAACAAATAAGTAAATTTAAAAGAAAAACGTAATCATGAGGTATTTCGTATAGAAATTGCATCCAAAATGATGCGAAAAATGTTCCACGAGGCATAACATTCTTCGATATTTGAAAAAAATAATTTTTCTATTAATCTTTTAAAAAACGCATTTTTAAACTGTGTCTACGTATTAAAGCTTCGTTTTGGTTGGTGGCTCCACAATGGAAGTCTCGAGGGCTCTCATTTTAACAGATCACCAAAATGTGAAAGAGCCACTGTTTAGTAGAGGTGCTACGGGACACGTTTCGTTGCACATTTTGCAGTATTCTCATGTATATTTCAAACATAGGCGTCCATCACGTCGAATAAATTTTTGATTTATTTTTGCGGAGGGACAATAACGCACATTGCTAAAACACACAAATGAAACACTCTTATTAGAATATAGCCTTCTCAACAAATATCTAACTGCTATTAATGTAGGTTCAGCGATGATTTTGTGTAAGCCACCGCGTTTTAAAAGGAATGCATCATTATTTCAAGTTCGTGGCTTTGGTGATACAAACATTTTCCAGACTGATTTGAGACAATTGAATAAAGCTTTATACAAATAAACAAGTTATAATACTGTAAAACGGACACTTAACGCCCATTTAACAAATCAATTTTATTACAAGAGTTAAACAGTCATAACGGCAAATGACATAAATCTATATAAAAGCAGTGAATAAAATATCCAAAAAACATAACACTCAAACAGCACGTAAACTAGAGTAATCTAACATTATATATTGTATTTTAGTCTCTTTATATATTTGTGGCATCTGTAAGAACAATCGTTGTAACAGCATTGACGCGGTCCATATCTCCCCACATCGACACTTTGCCGTTTGATAGGAAGTAAATTAATTATGCAATGACGCAAGTATTCGCTTGTGGAATTTCAATCGGAAGACTTGTTACAAGAACTTCCTGGGTCCCAGTCTTTGCCTCAACATCTTGCAAATCCGTAAATACTTGAAATTCGCCAATTTGAGGCAGGTTTTTATCAATTCTTGTCAGGTAAAATGACTGGAACTTGTACGATCTCGGGTTAAATGTAAGTTTCAATTTTCTGCTGTTATTTCCGACATACTTCATGTTGCCAGTGACATCAAATGAAAATGACTGATTCGGCCGTGCTTGAAAATGTCCAGAATGTTTAACTTCTGGGTGAAAAAAGAATCCTTCATTTTCCCAAAATTCGAAACGCCTTTGAAATCTCCCGGGGGTTGTGCATTCAAAGATTACCAGATGGGAGTCTTTCTTCGGACAAAGTGCATAGAAAAATAGCACAGACGTTTCTCTATGTAATGCGCTTTTGATGCGTTCCTTTGCCTTCTTCTTTGCTGCGTCTGTGCTGATACCCATGTGTTTTGATAGTACAATCGGCACATAACTGAAATTTATTAAAATGCATATATTTATGGTAAAAGTGGCAGAATATCCTAATAAGTAGTTTGTAAATCTGTATGTTAATCAAACATAAATGCCATAAGTAATTCTAATGCATACAAATTTATTGCAAACCTTTCTAGGTCGCAAATACAATGCAAGAGTAAATTACAAATATTGTATTTTCTAATAATATTTCATATTAACTCTAAATAAAGAAATAAGTTAAACAGTTTGACGGAGAATGGTGGAGGCATACTAATACATAAAAAAGATTACATACATGCAGAATCGTTTGATCCAAAAGGAGATGCAGCCATTTTGTGGATTAATGGGACTGTCTATTTCCCTCCATTTTCTGTCGTCTTCTAAGTCATCTTCGTTGTTAACACTGAATACCACAACATCGTCAATGTCTTTGACGTCTTTATGTAATGGTACCTGAAGTCTGACTTTGTCAGACGGTTGCCTAGCAGCAGATAAATGGATTATGTCGGCGGCAAAAATGCGATCTGGATTTCTCTCAAAATTCCCTGTCTCAATAACCTAAAATGTAACGAAAATCTTAATTTTTTTCTGAATCGCAGTGAAGAATGGTTGATCGAGGAAGTAATGTGTCCATTAATTGCATCCATTTAATTACAGAATATAACGTCAATTAAAGGTACATCTATTCAGTTTGGCTTAACCTAAAGAAAAACAAATTACGAACTATGTAAGTATGTACCTCAAAACAGTATTATGGTATCATCATTGAAAATAAAAGTAAGCAAAATTCAAAAATTATGATATCCGTTGCTTTCCATGGCATCAATTACGTGACTTTTGTGATAACGATAAATAAAACAAAAATTTGTTAATTAATGCATGCGTACGATTCGATTTCAGGTAATCAAAGTTACTGAATGGGGGTTATGGTTTGTGTACAACTTGACATTATTGGTTCATTCCGTACAAACTGTAATTCTGGGGTTAGAAATTGTACTCCAGGGTTAAGAATGTCATCATCGGGTTAAAATGATCAAAAGAAGTTCGAAATAATAAACCCACAAAGTAGGTCTAGTTAAAACAACCGTTCGTCCGTCTGTCCGGACCACTCCTAAGAAACTAATGTCATCCAAACTTTACATTAATGATTAGTAGCACGTCTAGTTGAGTATGCCGACGTCATTTATCGGTTCAATGATTTTTTGACAGTCATATCCCTTAATTAATTAGTTGGCTGTGGAGCAACCGAGTCTTATATGACGCATGATTTACTGTGGAATGACACGATTTATTTTGCGAGTCGTCAATAAAAAACACAAGTACATAAGAACATTCACATACATTATCTTTACACTTTATGACCAATTTTAAATTTCTTGCTTTGTTACAAAACATTTTATTTATATTTTCTTCAAATGGAAATACAATGTTTTCTTATCTGTCTGTATTCTACCGTGATTTAATATCGTGTGACCAGGCTAAAAAACATGTTAAGAACAGTTTCGCATTTGGACACTGTTGCATTGCACTGTAATTAAACATTTGAATTTTTCAATATATCCATTTTTGAATTTTAGAAACAAGGAAACAAGTTCGTTTTTAAGAAATTTATCTTTAAATGTTTTGTATTTTTTTCTTTTGAGATGATTTGGATAGTGATGTACGGACATAGTTCTTGGTAGCCGCCTTTTATACTCGTATAGTACAGCAAGGTCACACGTGTGTTGTTTTATTTTGGTTAGATTTGGTAACGGGTCGTCTGGTGCCTTTAATGTCTTATATACTACGTGCATGCTAAAATTTAATGTTTTATCGATGGTAATTTGCTTATTAACAGTTTATATATCGTTTAATCGGGATATCATTAATTACTGTTCAAGGCATTATTATTAACCAAAGACACATGGTGTCGGATTACTGGCACATTACGACATGACATTGACTGAAGCGTACCCGTCTTGTCACAGTTACTAGTACGGACGTAATGAATTGTTCGTGCTGTAATGCTTCCCCTCTGTGCAAAACTATATATGCAGACATTCGTATATGTAGCATTTTATTCGGCTCTTCTAAAGGAGCTGAACACATTCCTTTGCAGCCGTTTTACGTGTATGCAAAACCTCGCTTATTTATAGTTTTGATTTTTTTGTCCTGACTACTCCTCTTACACCACTCCAAGGGGCAGGACGTGAAGTGGTTGCACACTTGGTTCAAGCGAGCGAATTGGTTGCAAACTTGACAAAATGGCGAACACGGCGTGATTTTTTGAAACGGGTGAACGAATTTTTGCCAGGCAAATGGGTTTCTTTGTTATTTTGAAGTTCATTAGTATGTCTTTTCCATAATGCAATATATATGCCACACTCGGTTAAAAGTTTCAGCATCCTAGATTCTGTTTTGACGAAGTTATTGAAGATATAAACTGATCATGTAGATATTTTTTAATTTGACATGTGACTGTTCTGGTCGGTTTTTCTCCTAATTTATTCGAATTTGTAAGTTTTGAACTGCATTTAACAATAACAAAATATGTTTCTGTCAATGCTGTACAAATGGTTTAATTCGCAAGTCCGAAGATAACATTCAATACACAAAAATATCTTGTTCAAGCACATTTTGGTTGCAAACTTATACTTCAAGCATTTTTGGTTGCAAACTTTTGTGTCAATAATGTGGCATGCATATTTTTTAGCGAGGAATAACTAATAATTTTTTTTTTTTAAAATAATTAGCAACCACTTCATGTCCTGTCCCTTGCACTCATGAAATTTCAATTAAACATTGCAGGATTGCATTTCATTGCTCATATTAAACTGGTTTTTCGATTGAATGATTTTGGCACCATGCAATTAGCTATCAGGCGACACACGTGATCACTGATCGCTCTTGTTTTTAACATATAAATTATGTTTATTATACCATTTGGCTGTTTGTGTGAAGTTCCCCATTTGGCTTTTTTAAAAGTTATCACGTGTCTCTGTGAAGAAAAACGACGGGTAGTAGCAGTAGTTGCGTTTTAGAGTAGTTATAAAACATGAAATTACGTCATATACGGACTTGAAGGAGATAAATATATGTAACTAAAAAGAAGTCATACCTGGACATTTACATCTATGGTGTTTTCAAATGTCTTGGCCGGTACTTCCACTCTTATATTCCTGTTTAACTCTGACATAATTGTATGAGCACTAGGACCAATCTTGTGCTGGTACACTCTGGGACGTGCCAAAACAGCAAATTTCTTAACAGTATTGTTGCTGATTGGCAGCTTAGCAACAAAGGTTGGTACCTAAATGGAATATTGCATGGTGATTTCCTCGTCATTATAAAATTATTTTATTTTATGCAATAAATGACTTGAAGCTGAGTGATTTTTATCGTGCGAAAACGTGCGCTTCTCCAGTGTGCTTTGACATTACTTAAAACGAATGAAATCAATCAATTAATACAAAGCAAAACGATCTTAAACTAATCACTAGGTCACGTTTTCTTAAAATGTATGACAACATTATTCTACTTACAAACATAAGCCCACGGTATTTCATAACAATAGTAATATATTTTGGCACACTCAGTTTGGTGTGCATGCGAGATTCACATCTATGTCATGTTAGATCAGCTTAAGATGTTCCCTTTTCATTCTGTATTTGTAATTTTATTTAGTTCTATATATTTTATACGAACCCCGTTTTCTTCTGAAGTCTTGTGCTCTTTATATTCCTCATTATCTGTTGTTTTCAGATAACTTTCAAACATTCCAGGATATCCATCCAGAGGAACCTCGATCATTAATGTACAGTCGGCCTCCAAACACAGCACACGTAACTCATAAATATCACTGTAATAGTAAAGGAGAATAAGTATTACTTTTGCTCATACCCTTACCAAGTTTAAATATGTATAAATATTTAAAAGAGAAAAACCCAAAATAAGAATAATAATAATAAAAAATAATGGTAATTACATAATAATAATAATGATAATAATAATAAAACATCGTAACATCTTGTTTTATTTGATAAACATAACTTCTTTCTTTTCTAACACTCAGATATTCAATTAAATTCAATGGCATAATGCGTAACACATGCTTATTAATAAGATATTTTGCTGTACCTGAGAATCTCTTCTAGACCTTTCAACGTAATATCAAGGTGAGCAGAGTCGGCTGGTGTACGGTGTATAAAGATGATTGGTTTAGCATTTATGGAGTTGTCTTTTTTACATTCTACTGACACTGTTATTCCAAGGCGAGCTAGATCCACTTGTTTTCCGAGAGGCACCATTCGACAATCGTAGCTTATCTCACTGGAGAAATATTCACATCATTATACTATATATAATTATATATAAATGAAGACGAAAAAATAAAATCAAACCAACTGGATTTATACATTAAAAAAATCAATATTTTTAAAGTCATGGAGCTACAAAAATGAAATGGAGCTACCAAACCAAAATACAGAATTTATTTGTGTTCTTATATAATTATCTGTTGGTATTTAAATGCAATGTATATGTTATGACAATTGGGAATATTTATTTTATACATGCATTTGCGTTTTGACAATATGTTTATTATCAATGATTTTTACTAATATTTAAATTTCATTAAAAACGTAACGTACAATTGTTAAGGTCCACTGTCATTGATGATAAAATTAGATAAACGTTGATTAAAACAGTCTTCAAAAATAAAGTATTTTATTCAGCGTTCTTGTCTAATATTTTTATCATATGTATTTGTTAAATATTAAGTAGAAAATGTTTTACCCTGAAGTATGTCTTGATGAATGGTTTTCGTTGTACTGTCTTATACGTTTTGCTACAGCATGTTTCATTTGGGTAGGTAATTTGAACGTGTTAGCCAGATTCTCATTCTGAAAGTAAGAGCCAACTGTAACTTGTAAAGTGTAGTTACATGAAGAATTTACCCGATGGACTGCATTCGTCTTCTACACGGGGGGGGGGGAGTTGCACGAAGGATAGAGTTGTTTTGTTTTTTTTCTTTTTTTTTTGTGATAACTTGTCGGGAGTTCTTGTGATAACTGTCACGGAGGTCGTCGGAAAACTTTTGTATAGACTACAAAAACACTCGTCAAAAACGTAATTTTCATCTTTAAAGAGTGCGTTTTGGGTGCTAAATTAAACTCTAATGATAAAGCTTGTCATTACATCTGGTATTATGTGTCAAAAAGTAATTCATAGTCCATTTTTCATCGCCATTTGTTTTAAGCTGGTCATTTTAAGTAAAATTTCCAAATCATTTGCAAATTCGCACGAATTGACCTGTTTATTTCTGGTATTTATCCTTGGCTTCCTTGCCTTTCATGATTACCTATTAATTATATTAATTAATAATAATGCAAAATTGCAAACATAAAGCCACGGCTAACAAATTTATACCCGATTTTTCAAATGTTCTGGAGTTCTTGTGATAACTCGAGTTCTTGTAATAACTTTTGTTATTGCCAGCGTGTATTCTGTGCTAAATCACGACAAGTTTTAGCGTTTTGTATTATTCAATAAGATTGTAAATCATTATGAAATGAAGAACGCTCATCTTTTGCACAATAATAAAGGGAATATATAATGTTGTCTTTGAGTGTATTTTAGTTCGAGAGATATCATTTCTTACACCCGGTTCTTGTGCAATGTTTCATTTTATAGCATTATGCTGACACAGATTTCGTAGATTTGATAAAAGATTGATATAGAGCAATGACTTACATGGTAAAATGCGCTTTGAAATTCATGCATGGTGTCTTCATGTATACATTATAAAGGACTTTTTGTAACAATGGTGCAAAGATTTGGAATAGAATAACATCTAATATACGTTCTTCTAATTCTCTGACATCTTTTAAAAATAAGTATAAAGAACATATCCTGCAAATCAAATAAATATCTTCATACCTCTGTCATTATGTTATAATACTTATTATCCATGTACGAGTACATTATTAAAATATTTGTAAATGAAAACTATATAAATTATATTTAATATCTTAAAGGAGCGTTTGTCAAAAAAAGTTATAAGGAAAAATCTAAATGGAATAGTTGTAATTGTTTTATGATGTTTTGTGTTTGTGTTTCTTAATATTGTTAAGAAGGCCACATTTAAAATTAAGAAATGCATTTTGTTTTCTATGATCTTCATGTGTTACCTTCTATAAATAAAGTTATTATTATTATTATTATTATTATTATTATTATTATTATTATTATTATTATTACTCCTGACATTTTAAGAGAACAATAAGTAACATCCCATCGGTCGGCAGTAATCCCCCTATGTAAACTTAGTGGAGGAAACTCTCATTTTAAGATGATATTTGAAATAATTTTTTATTAATTTTGAGACAATGTGTCATATGCAAACACTTTGACTTCATACTTTTTAAAATAAAAAATGAATTGAAATTTGTTTCCAGTCAACAATTCTGTAATTCATGGATATATTTGAAAATGCTGTGCGTTGGGCATTGTAACAACGTGTCACGTGCAAGGTCACACTTGTCGATCAAAAAGCCATGATTTTTTTTAAAAAGTGCACTAATATTCGTGTCGGATCAACAATTCTTTCATTACTGGATGTATTTAAAAATCACTATCCATAAATATGTTTGACATAATGACAATGTAACGTGTGCAAAAATCAGGCCCTTAGCTCATATGTCAATGTCGCGATTGTAGTTCAAAATTCATGAAACATGTATGAATTTTTATCAAAGTACATTGACGTTCGTGTCAGGTTACCATTCTGTTATTACTGGAAAGATTTAAAACTATTGCGCATAATGTGTCATAACGATGTGTCGCGCGCAAGAAACAATGCCCTTAGTTTAAAGGTCAAGGTCACACATTAATTTAAAATTCATGATATGAATTTGTTCTTAAAAATGCACGATTTTGGTCAAGTTCACACTTGATTGTCAAAAGTCATGATATGATAGGGCATCGACAGTCATGTCCAGTTCATATCTTTTTGTTTTTCAGTGACAAGTTTTATAATAACTTGGTTTACATATATGGTACTTTAAAACAATTTGTGATAAGTGAGAACAATTTTGTAGCTTTAATTTATAAAGGTCAAGCTAGGACTCTTAAGGTTAGTACTTCAATTTGATGGTTGTATCAAGTCATCGAGTCTGTAATTCATGAAGGAATTTTTTAATAACTAGGCATACCTTTGTGGCTCATTAGAAATCTTGTCAAACGAAAATGCTATGTGGATGACTGATAGAAAGATAAAGTTTATACTTGAATGTCAAAATAGTAACTAGATGATTGTGTCTAGTAAAAGCTTTGTAATCCATTAAGGATGCTTTTTGAAATAATGGAGCACACTGAAAATATGAGAGTATTTGTTAATGTTTCTTTATTTCTTTAGTATCGGCGCCTTTGTTGAAAGTCAAAGGTCATGTTTTCTCTACTTGGCCTTGCCTTTGGGCGTTTGTCTTTGTCAAACGATATGTCTTGCTCAGTCTACAACATCTAGTTCTGTAACATACTAAGGATGTCCTACAAAGTCCTGGATAATTGCTGTATAACAAAAATATAACGCAATCCACAAATGTACGTCCATTAATTTGTAAAATAAGAAACATGATTTTAAGAAAGAATACAAACACAAAATAAAGACCGGAGGTGTGCATATGCGACCAAAGACTACAATTGTCATTTTACAAACCTAACGCATTATCTTTAAATCAGAGTCAGTGTTCACTTACGTAACAAATCTGCCTAATGTTATAACGTTGACATTTCCCTCAAGTATGGGATGCCCGTAATCAAGCGATCATGAAAGATGGAGAAAATTAATTTAATTTTTTTTTTAATTTATAAAGACGAACATCAGTTTGCAGAATTTTATAATTTCTAGTATGGAATGATATTGAGGTAAAAATTACACAATGCCTGCTTGCACTTTCATCACGCTTGTTGACAATTACACACTTCCTGCTTACTGTTACAATTTACTCATTGACACTGCTATTGTGCTTATTGGTACAGTCATTATGCATGCTTGCACTTTCATCACGCTTGTTGACAATGATACCATGCTTGCTGGAAGTTACAACTTGTTTGGTGTTTAGTCCCTGATGTCTTTATGGCTGAATGACAGTGCAATGTAGCGTAATGAAATATTTCAACATGCCGGGACTGTATATAAGCTTTGATATTTCAACATTGCACAGTTATAATGCTCCTAGAACATTACACACGATGTGGCCACACAAAATGAAAGATGCAATCAGTCACTAAGCAAGTTGAAAGTAAGCATAATGTGAATTGCAAATTTGTACATCACATTTTGATACCAGGGGGCGCACGTTCGTAGTTTTTGCGAAATATGCCGGACTTTAATTAGCTGTTCCCTTAACCGTTTCCCATCAGTTGTGTCCCTTTGTTTCATTAGGTAGGGTCGCCTATAGAAAAGCCGGATTTGATCCGGGATCGTATTAAACATATAGTAATGCCGGGAATTGACCACCTACTCTCGGTGAATTTTCATCATTATTATAATAATAATAATAATTATTATTATTATTATTATTATCATTTGAAGGTTTTTATAGAGATTTCTAAATAAGTTTGATTTGAAGTAGTTATAAAAAATCTTTAAAAATAACGTATTTTTTCACAGACAAAAGCGTTTATTAATTGACCTCAGAATGACACACACACAAAATCTTATTTAATATTGTAAGTACATGTAATGGCAATGGAAGTCGTTGTATATTGGGCATCAAGAGTGCTAATATGCAATTAGAAAAAGGTAAACACAAGTAATCAATAAATTCAGCCAGAAAAGCCGGGATCGTATTAAAAAATATAGGGATCCCGGAAATTGACCAGTCTGAGAAGATATTTTTCAGATAAGCCGGGATCGTATTAAAACATAATTATAGGGATCCCGGGAATTGACCAGTTCAAGAATATAGTTTTCAGAAAAGCCGGGATCGTGTTAAAACATATAGGGATCCCGGGCATTGACCAGTTCAAGAATATAGTTTTCAGAAAAGCCGGGATCGTATTAATATATATATAAAGATCCCGGGAATTGACCAGTTCAAGAATATAGTTTTCAGAAAAGCCGGGATCGTATTTAAATATATGAAGATCCCGGGAATTGGCCAGTTGAAGAATATAGTTTTCAGAATAGCTGGGATCGTATTAAAACATATAGGGATTCCGGGATTTGACCAATTCAAGAATATAGTCTTTAATTTTTCCAATTAATTAGGCATATAATTATAAGTATTGTGATTTCTGCATTTTAAGTTTGTTAATAAATAGCTCTAAATATATTTATATCCTAAGTTAAATTAATTTACCGTTCATTACATACAAAAAAAACTTAACGTTTTTAAATCGCATTTCATTAGGACAATAATCATTATACAAATATACATGTAGTTTATTAGTTTTCCCTCTACATCTAATACGATCTTCCCCCCCCCCCACCTTAATTTGTGGATTTTCAGGAATTTCAAACCGCAAGTCCTCCATTTCTAAGAAAAACAATTTAAGTTAAGCAAATGAGATGTAGAGGGCGAGCTAAAATTTAATCTGGCCCCTAAATCAAATTAAATTAGATGTACCATCATCAATACTGGTCACAGTCCTGTGACTAATTCCAGTCCAGTCAAAATTTTAAACAATGAGTCAATGTTAATTGTTATGGCATATATTTGGACGTTATGGCATGCATACAGAATATAAAGTCAATGCTACGGGTAAAAGAATTGACCGACAATCTATTTGTAATCTTTTTGCTAAATAAAGTTACGACAAATGGCAAATTGAAAAGAAGGGGAAGTAACTATTGATATATCTGTCTATACATATTCGGATATCCACGATAATCTTTCCGGCAAATAATTATTCAAATTACGGAAAAACACGACTAGAACATAGCGCCCCCTGTTATCAAAATGTGACATAATTTTGAAATGACATTATGCTTAGTTATATTTTGCCTAGTGCCTGATAACATTTTCCATACTGGTTGATCACTTCGTGTATGCATTACAAATTAACCAAGATAACCACTGGCACAGCTAATGAAATAAACCTTTACGCTAGATTGCACTGTCATTCACTCAAATGAAAATATGAAAAAGGCATCAGGGACTTAACACCAAACAAGTTGTTACTTCCAGCAAGCATGGTATCATTGTCAACAAGCGTGATGAAAGTGCAAGCATGCATAACGACTGTACCAATAAGCACAATAGCAGTGTCAATGAGTAAATTGTAACAGTAAGCAGGCAGTGTGTAATTGTCAACAAGCGTGATGAAAGTTCAAGCATACATAGTGACTGTACCAATAAGCACAATAGCATTGTCAATGAGTAAATTGTATCAGTAAGCAGACATTGTGTAATTTTTACCTCAATATCATTCCATATTCTAGACTGTAAGAAAACGAGTGTACTGAGAATTTCAAAAGACAATTTGTGTATGTCTCGTATAAGAAGGTGGCTTGGCTACTTAACAACGTAAGGAACGGTACTGCACGGCCAAGCATAGTCTATATTTTGATGTGACCTCATTTGCGTTCGCGTAAAGGCGCACTTAATGTTAGCATTACACTATAAGAGCATCAAAGTGATTATATTTACTGGCAATAGTTTAGTATCTGTTATAAACAGAGCAAATTATTCGTGAAACTGCATTGCTAAATCTGTTTAACCTAAACTCATTCAATACTTCTATTAACGTCAGAAGTTGCAATGATATCGCAACTCATTCGGATGCATTTTAATTGACATGCATAAAATCATGTAATTATCAGAAAAATATGTCTAGCAAAAACACTATTTCATAGTATATACAATGAATGTCTAACACGTTTATGAAACCAAATACACAAACTATGATTCATTGAAATATAAACAGTTCTTATCAAAAATAGTCAAGCGATGTACTTTAAAAAAATGAAAGAGGTTTACATTTGAAATATGAAAAGTCCTTAAGACTAAAGATAATTGCTGTTGAAAAACAGACCTTATCTCTAATGTTCGGATTACAGCCACACATTAGCAAGTACTCCATGGCTATTCCTTGTCCATATTCGGCAGCAACATGGAGAGGTGTTTTCATGTCCTGCAACAAAAATAGTGAAAAACTAATGGGGCGTTTTAAACAACATTTCTAAGTGATGTTTGATATTGTCCTTATTCAATACAAATATACAGGTTGAATTAAATCAGCGTAACTACCAGGGTAAGCTTCCCGGAAAATACACGCTACCATTGCAAACTGTATGATATCTTGATCACCTTTAATGTTATTCATCCGATCCATAACATTAATTGCAAGATATCAGGTTAGGTAAGAATTGTCGGCTTATTAAAATACATCAATTATAAAGCATGCTACAAAATCCGATAGGATTAACAGAATGTCAGGGGATGTAATAACAGTACTATTTTGGAACTGGGACAAATCGGTACAAACCTTTGTTTCATAATTATATTCTTCCCGGCATGCCAAGCGTCATGAAAAAATAATTAGCTTGTCAAAAAGTTTGTTTCTACCCGAAATTACCATTGACATGAAGTTATTTCGAGAAAATATGTAGTTTGAGCGACTTGAACCAGTCAATCAATGGTATGATCTATAATACACCCAATTAGCCCAAAAAGAAATTGTTTTTAGTTATTTTTATAATAGTTTTTGTAAATACTCACTTTATTTTTTGTGTCTATACTGCAGCCAAGAGATGCAAGCTGAACAATTATTTCATGCTGACCACTTGCAGCCGCTAGATGGACCACTGTGTTTCCATTCTACAGATTGATTCAATCAAACAATTTTTTATTAGTTCCACCCGTTATCATATAAAAAATACTACCTTTTTGAAAAAATGTGCAAAATTCAGATCATTTATTTATGAAATATTATTATGTCATGGAAAATTTTGAAGTAAACTGGCAATATGGTTTAATTTATGACTTTATGTATGAAAGAAATCCGCTCATATCATATCATTAGCAGGTAAAACGTGGGTTATTTCTCTGCCTCAGTTGTGCTTATTTTGATGAAAATATTTTTCGGTTTGAATACCAAATGTTATATACATGTATGTAGGTTCTTATAAGGATACTGCATACACTTGAAATTATGTTACTTTATAAAAATGAATTTTCATAAGTATATGTTACATCGTCACTAGCTTCAACATCGGCATTCAGTTGCAAGAGTTCAATGATTGTTTCCATCTGTCCACCTCTGCAAGCCAAGTGTAATGGTGTCAGTCCACGCTTAAACAAAAGCATTAGAGAACTAATAGTATACTTACAAATAGTCTACATCGTTATCCGGTAATTATATATTTCGAAACTCAGTATATACATTTGATATGGCTCAAAATTAGCTTTCTAATGGTTCATATAAACCACTTGCTATTTATTTTCTCACTTGGAAGAGCCATGCATGGGACAGGCTGTTATTAAATTTAAAGAGGACACTAATGGAAAATTTCAGTTGTTGTTTTTCCACAGGCTATTTGTTCAGTCATGATTTTTTAAGCATGCAAAGTTTAGGAATAATTTTCTCTCTCTTAGTTTAAATTTACATTCTTTGCCTTTGTAAAACAAAACAGAAATTTCCAACTAGAGTCATTTTACCTGAAAGTAAGCATACTATTTATTGCAAGTTTTTATTGCGTTTAACGGCCTATGGAGCCTACTATGTTGTTTCTACAAAATATATAGGCTACATTTTATAAACAAAATGGAAATGTTCTTTTGCTCGGTTGAGCTGATCATGTAGACAAAAGAATATTTGTTGAAAATAATGTATTTAGAAATCGGATCTCATACAGTGTTAAAGCAAAATACATGGATTTACATTACTCTCGTAAGCTATTGAAACATGAAGGAATTAAAGACACATACATTATCTCTACAGTTGATATCGGCAACATGATTGTTTCCCGTGAATTCAGGAAGTAGAAGAAAATGTCCAGATTCTGCCGCGTAATGCAACGGCTGTCTCCCTTCCTAAGATATGCAGGAAAGTTTTATTGAAAAAGAATATTAAATACAAACGTCAAATGGTTAAAAGGAGATAACAGACTGCCTTCTTCAAATCTGCATAGGGTAATATTATTCAAGTGCTAGTTTAATACATTACCATGCCAAAATACTGTTAATGCTCAGCATAAATTGGAATTATTTAGATATTTTGTTGACTATTTTATTGATTCATCTAATATGAAAATTTATACTGATTTACTGTATATTTTTGTAAAGGCTCATGCTATGAATGATTTAGTAAAATCAGCATTTAATGAAGATGGAGTGACTAAATTTTCCTTTTATTAATTATACTACGTTTTATGTCGAGTAACATACAACTTGACAAAAGTACTAAGCATAGATTTTGTTATCATAACAAAGTCATTTTTCATCAAATTATTTAATATTTAAAATCATTAGAAAGGTCAGTACAGTACACAGTAAAATCACAATACTTTATTTCTTTTTTCTTTGTAAAGGTTTTAAACTTGGTGCATCTAAGCTGCAAGTAAACTTTTGAAAATTCAGGTGGAAAAAGAGGAGCAAAGTTTTCTTTTAAAAAACAAAAATTGAAAATCCGCTCATATTTCCAAACATTAATCAAAGATATATTATGCTTTAATTGAATATTTGAAAAAATTGTACACAGTTTGTATGTATTATTAAAACAACATGTTCTGAATACACACAGAAAAGATATGTTACACTTGATCCAATTAGGATATGCATTGATCCATATTAGGATATGCAGCTTCCTATATTATTTTATGTATTCCCTTATTCAACTTAGACATATTCAGCAAAGATTAAAAGTATTTTTCTAATAGATGAGCATTGTATATCTTTAAAAGAACTTTCAACTAATATGAGAACCTTAAAATTCGACCCAGAGATGCTGCTATGTTTATATTAATATTGGCACATTTTGCCAATCAGATATTCTTATTTTGATGTTATCAGTCAACTTGTCTGTACAACACTCGCAATGTATGATAAAGGGCCAGGGCAACAAGGCTAAGTCTGTATTGATCTATATTCACATCGTTTTCAGTCCTAGACGTGTCACTTAAACATGTTTATTTGATATATGATGGCAGTATCTTCAGTATACTCCTAGGCTAACTGACGAAGTGTGTGTCCTATCATCAGAAGTTCAATTCAAATCCAAAATAAACTTTTTAATTTCAGAAATAAATTTCCAAAAGGCAAACAAAAAAGTTGATTGGCGAACTTTCCCCCCCGCAACCAGCTTTCTCCCAGTGTTACAATAGTCATTAAATCATGCAAAACAAAGTTTGGCGTTATAATTTCCTAGTTTTTTTATCACTTTAGCTTTCTTTTTTCTGTTTTAATTCCTTAAAGTTTTAAATGCTAAGAAACTTGTGCGCATGGCTTAGTAACTAATATGCACGACATATATGCACGACATAGTATCTCGTGTGCATCACTTAATTATCTCGTGTGCACGACTTAAATTAAATTTATAAATTTATAAACCACACTGAAAGTATAGGACTTGTACTGTGGAAGAGAAATATAAATTTAAGGCAACATGTGTATATTTCTTAAAATATTAGAAAGGGTTTACATTTTTGGTGAAACAAATTTTTCACCAAATACAAGAAGCAAAAGTATTTCTTATGTTTTCCAATCCGTTTTTTAAATTAAACATATAGAAATTCATAAAACATATATGCGCGTTCTTTTTTAAATCTCTTAAATAGTTTTTTTTTACGATTTATTAACTATTCATAAGCCAACCTGGAGTTACTTACGTCATCAGTTTCTGTTATCAGAGCCCCAAACTTCAGTAGCATACGCAGACAGTATACACTACCCGTGTGTGCCGCATAATGCAAAGGTGTTCGACCATACTGTAAAAAACGGTAAATGTCCTGCTAGTAAATGATGAATTAATGATTAAATGACTACTTATAAAATGAAGGTAAGTAAAAGAATCATATAGGTTATTGAAATCCAAGGCTTCCCTAAATTCACCCTGAAATAAGAACAAGTATTATGTGCTACTGATATATATGTATTTGTGCAGGTTCAAGTATAGGAATCAATAAGTTTCACCAAAGAAATTTACTTTATCTTTGCAATTCCTATCAGCGCCAAGTGTAATAAGCTTCTGTAGCCAATCTGTTGTGCTAAACAAAACGGCCAGATGGAAAATTGTCTCACCAAACTGAAAATGAAATAACAAATTGCAACATAATGACATGTATGTATTTAAAACAAAATCCCTTAGCCAAATACTCAAATACAAACCTTGAATTATTTATATTGTTAAGCTTTGATAAGGTTTGTTTACCTACCTGGGTTAGTTTTAATTGAATGCGTCGAACAGAATTGAATAGTGTCAAGCAATTCTGAACAATGCCGAACAATGTCAAGAAGTGCAGATAGCTATTAGCAGTGTCGATGGTAATCAGATTAATCAAGAAGCGTTTAACATATCCTATTTAGCTTAGGATTTTATAAACCCTTCTTACACTTATAGTTTGAAAAATTAATAAAACATCTTAGTTAAATTGTATGAGTTAACGGGAATAATTTTAATAAAGATAATAAATGTAAAGCTTAGCATCCATAAACGTTATTTATATAGTGGTACATCTTATTGTCAATTAAAATTTTTATTGTAATTTACTAATCAAATTATATTCAATGTAACGGATGAACAATCATATAATATCTAATTTGCGCTTTAACATATAGTATCTAATTTGGGCTTAAATATATGATATCTAGTGTGCGCTTTAACATATAACATCTAATGTGCGCTTAAATATATGATATCTAGTGTGCGCTTTAACATATAACATCTAATGTGCGCTTAAATATATGATATCTAGTGTGCGCCTTAACATAAAATATCTAATGTGCGCTTAAAAATGATATCTTATGTGCGCTTTAACATATAATATCAAGTGTGCACTTTAACATATAGCATCTAATGGGCTTAAATATATAATATCTAGTGTGCGCTTTAACAAATACTATCTAATGTGCGCTTAAATATATGATATCTAGTGTACGCTTTAACATATAACATCTAATGTGCGCTTAAATATATTTTATTAAGTGTGTGCTTTTACATTTAATATCAAGTGTGCACTTTAACATATAGCATCTAATGTGCACTTAAATATTTGATATCTAGTGTGCGCTTTAACATTTTACATCTAATGTGCGCATAAATATATGATATCTAATGTGCGCTTTAACATTTAACATTTAACATCTAATGTTCGCTTAAATATATTATATCTAATGTGCGCTTTAACATATAATATCTAATGTGCGCTTTAACATATAACATCTAATGTGCGCTCTAACATTTAGCATCTTATGTGCGCTTTAACTCAGAAATGTGACTTTTCAGGCTCTTTATCCCTCGAAGAGATATTATGAAAACTTTCAAAGGAAAAATCATGCTTAAAAAGACGGGTGATAATAAATACTATAATATCACGACACACTGTTGGTGTCTTATACCTTCAGTAACACAAGAAAACGGGATTGTCAACCTTATATAATAATTTATATAACTGTGAATCACGTGATATGCATTTCATGCGACTTATGCGTCTACCAAATTATCGACAAGGTTATAAAATAGAAAGGTACATTCGTAGTTAGTTTAGTGCTTGGTTGTACTGCTTAGAATGTTGCAAGATCTTAACCCGACTACATAACTGCTGCATGACTAGTCTCTGAAGTAATCAAGAGTTTGACATAATGCATTATACCAATATTGCTGAATCATTTTCTAACCAATAGAAAATAGGATATCGAAAAAATAAATGATTTGTTGCCATTAAGTTCAAAAATGCATGATATTAACAAAGGTGTTGTTGTGATATTTGTCACGAAACTGAAAGTAATGGTTGAAACGTTAATACAGATTGCTTAGCAATAATTGCTGATGTAAGCTTTTATAATAGTTTTATAAATATGACATCAATCATGAGACATGGCATTTGAGAATATTTCTGAGAGAAGCACTCTTTTTAACAAAGCTAAGCTTTCAAAAACAGATTACTAAAAATCAAGAATACTGATACCTAATTTTATTTCAAAGTACTATGCGTTTAGTCATTTTTGCAAAGTTTAATAAAAATGTATCAAACAATATATTACAATGACATAATTGCTAAGCACCCTGTGATTTTCTTTTCAAAGATTGGGCATAACTAAACAAAAATTAAGCAAAAAACGGTATTTCATGGACATATTAATAAAAAAGTAGAACACCGATGTCGTTTCATCAATATGTTTTAAGTTAGATTTTATTGAAACAAGCACAGTTCAGAGCTAAAATTATCTTCGCTGGTTTGAATTTTCCCTACTTGTCTTTGTAAAAAATACTACTACTCTCGGAAACGTTTTGTTAATTTGTTTTCTCTATACTATTATCACATTAGTTACATAAATGCACTTTAGAACTTGCTCTATTTTTACAAATACGCCATGCCTTAGCACACGATCCTTTAATCATCACTTTGAATAACCATGTCACATGGTATTCTGAACGAAGTAGTGCTGTTAGTAGTGTAAATCAAAGTGCTGCAGCACTGAATGCGACGGACATGCAACCGGAAAGACATTTAGGCATTTTTAGAAGAAAAAAAAAACACACACACACAAAAGAGAAACAGAGAAGGGTTGTTCCATACAAGTTCGAGATTTGTAGAGAAATATATTGTATGTGTCCCAATCTATGGAAGCCTTGGAGGGTCACTTTTGAGTTTCGAGTTACGGATATTTTACTTTTGACTTTCGACTTTTGACTTTTGATTTGTGACTTACGTCTTATGACTTTTGGCTAACCCATTTTACACGTGCCCTAGAAGCTGAAAGCAGCAACTTTGGTTTCAGGTATGTTTTTAAACGTTTTAAATAATTTCATGCAGATTTGTCATGGAGGAGAGGATATGTTAAGGAGGGAATTTAATATTATTTGATATAATCCCATAGTGATAACATATCACAGACTTTAATTCCACAAGTGTGACTGTGTGTTTTGTACAATCTTCTATGTTCTTAATATGTTCATTATATTAGTGCTTATACATTTTTTGTCCTCATCACAAAATCTGTCCATGAGTAACAAACAAATAACTGTTTTACAAGTAGACAGGGAATACAAGTTTTACGTCTTAAAATGGCATGGTGCACAGTATTAAACATGTATCGCAATTCAGCATTTTAGTGAGCTAACACGGAATTAGTAAAGAACGGCAAGTGCTATGTTCATACACACAAGTTAACTTAAAATTGTAATCGAGCACCATTTGCATTTAGCATCAATGTCTAATTTTGTTGTATATTTTAACAATTGAGAAAAGAACACTTAAGAATAAACGTAGATATAAAACCAGTCAGAACAAAATATCCTACTAGCATTTAAAATACTTTTTTGCACCTATCAATCTTTAAAAAACGGAGCTAAGAGATTTACCCATTTTATATACTATGAATGTATAAAGATTTAGATAAAAGATAAACTCTTATTTCAGACACAACTACTGGACAAAAGGTAACGAGGATGAAAACCTTGATGTTGATCTGTGTCTTCATCATTATACTGTTCAGCATTACCAAAGCTACCGTGCCAAGATACCTACCCTCAACATCTATAACAAACAAAACTCTGCTGATAATAGAGTACTTTCTGGTAGAGCATGGCATAACGACGTCATTTAGTACAGTGAATAGACTTTTTAAACGCTTAAATTTAAAACGGCGTAATGGAATATATACTCCTTTTGAGTTATAAACAGAGAAATACAAACAAATGGACAACGCATAGAATTTCGTACAATATGGCGTAGGTTAATGCTGAATTACCACATGTACGTCAAGGGAGACGACGTCATGGAAATAATGAGAGCGCTTGATCCGGATGGTATTGAGATGCGGAAAGCTCATCGCTTATGCCGACGCGTATACTACGCCATGACATATGGACGGTTTCATAAGGATTTTATATCCATGGTGCTGTGAATGGGTATAGTAGAAAAATAACATGGTTAGAGGTTTTGGACTCAAATAACGACCCACACCTTATTGCAAGATTCTTTTAGACACCTTTAATGAACATTATCAAGTCCCCCTCACCCAATTACTAGGTTGTCATGTCGGTACGGAAAACTGCATTGCTTTACTATTGTAGAAATACTTCAGACACGATTCTACAGATCCGATAGTTGGTACTCGAAGCCTTGTAGCTGGAAAAAGCACATCTAACCAACGCATTGAGAAGTGGTGGTGTACATTACGAGAAAAAATGGAATCCATTGGTGGATTTTTTTTTCAAAGACTTACGCGATACTTGTGTATTTAATGATCTGGATCCGATACAATGTGAGAACTTAAAATTTTGCTTCATGGACCTCATACAAACCGAGTTAGACCGGATTACACATGAAATAAGGCAACAAAAAAGTTCTTCTGTTATTTGTGGTAAACCTGACACACTGTTTTTTTGTACCAGGTCTGTATGAAACTCACGACTTCGGCAATGCAGTTAACTTGAGAGACGTATATATTTGCAAAGAACATGTTTTCACGCCCAAGAAGACAATGTGTGGAATTCATAGAATTAGCACCCCTTCTGAAGCCAGATCTACAGATGCCATTGGACGCTGATTCAGCACTACAACTGTGTACCGAGTTGAAAGATTTAATTTTGAGAATAGATTTAATATAAATACGCTTTGAAACGACTAATACTGATTTTTTTTCGTGTTATTGATATATACTAGGTTACTATAGGTTAAGTTTCAAAAAATGATGTTTTAAAATCATAAAGACGATAGTCTACGATTTCACTTCATTATATGGTTATTTTAAGATATTGGTTTGTAAATATTGAGCAAATTACAATATATTTGTAAATTATCATTTAAGTTATAACCACTATAATTTGCACTATAAGGCATTGTAAAATTGACAACATTGTTTAGTGGTATACCTAAAGGACACCTGTATGCAAAATTTAAGCAAAATTTACCGTACGGATTTGGAGTTGTAGGCATTATTATGACTCAGAACATATACATTTAAAAGGCTTTTTAAAAGAAATACATTTATTGAAAGTCTAAAAAAATATCCGTGTAATCTCATTTAAACATGTTTTGTAAGTGTTGTTTGTTTAGATGCAAATAATAACATGTTAAA